GGGGTCACCGCCAGCCGCCGCGAGCTCCGTCCAGCCCGGCGCGCCCTCTTCATCATCGTCATTGTCATCGTCGCCGCTTGCATCATCGTCATCGGCGGGGTCGCACCTCCCGCGGCGGCACTCCTTGCCGGGCTCGCGTCTCTCGCGGTCTTCATCGTCGCTGCACGACTTGCCGGACGACGACAGCAACGACGTCGACAGCGACCACGGGAGCACCAGCAGTGGCGAGGGCAGCGCCGGCGGCCTGGGCGACGGCGATCGCACCCGTCGTCGTCGAAGCCGCAGCCGAACGCGCACGTCGCCGGCCAGTCGCACGGCGGAGCAGTTTTACACGTCGGCGCGCTGGCTCACCTCCGTGGTGAGCAATTCCTCTCTGCCCACCAGCCCAGCATCGCGCACGGGCCTGGCGCTCGCCGACCCAGACGTCGACTCCGACATGGACATGGACATGGACAACGACTCGGCTGACAAAACGCGGAGGAGGACCGAGAAGCAGCTGGACCGCGCCACCAGCGCCGACGAGGGAGTCAAGGAGGAGAAAGAGGGGCAGACCAACTGCAACCGGAGCACCGAGCTGCACTTCCGGGTGCGCAACTCGAGCAAGGTCGTCAGCGAGGAGGAGCTGGAGCAGCTGTTCCGGCCGTTCTCCTACGGCAGCGCGGTCCACGCCTTCCAATACGGCGGTGGCGGCCTCGGTACGGACTGGTCCCTTCCGGCCCCACAGTGGCTTTTGTGTCATTAACCGGCCAACGCGCTCCGAGCAGGGCTGTACGTGTGCAAGAAGCTGTGTAAGATGTTTGGGGGGCGGATGTGGGCCGAGAGCGATGGCGACGGCCCGGGGTTCTCTGTCCACTTCACGATCCGCTCCGGCTGTACGTCTCCCGTTCCCATCGCTCATTGCCCCAGTGTGCAGACCGGCTGACTTGCGGCGGTGTTGCGCTCGCATGTGTAGTGCCGCGTTGCCTGGGCCAAGCCGCAGTGGAGCCGATCACGTTCGCGGGCAGGAGGCTGCTGATATTCTTGCGTAACGCGACCAACACCCAGATCCTCAGGGGCCGCCTCGAGCACGCCGGTGCCGCCGTACGTGTTGCGCGTTGCGTTTCGTTTTTTAGTTTCGTTTTTAAGTTTCGTTTTCGTTTTCGTTTGTTTCGTTTTTTGCTTATCGCGCTGCATTCGCATTCGCTTCGCAGGTGACGGTGGCCTCGACCCGAGAAGAGTTCCTGGCCAGCCTCGACGCCAAGGACCCCAGCGGCACGAGGACAGAAGATGGGGAGGACGGTGGCCCATTCGACGCGGTGATGCTGGACGTGGCGAGCTACGGCCAGGCGGAGGTGTATCTCCTCTCGCTCGCGCAGCTCGTCCCGCTCGTCCTACTCGCCACCACCACCGAGCGCGACAGCGACCGCGTACGGGAGATGAACCTCCAGTACTCCCCCTTCCACGTCATGCACCTTCCCCTGCGCCAGGTACGATCTCAGATTAGGGCTTGGCCAAGTGGTGCGCGAGTACCGGGCTGACCAGTGCCGTGCTGGTGCGGTTGTGCAGGCGCGGTTGTTGGAGGAGGTGCAGGAGGTACTGGCGAGCTTCGACGGCGGCCAATCCACGACCGCCCACATGCGACGAGACCGCGCGTGGGACGGCTACGCCGAGGCCCAGCCGCACGGGCGCCGGGCCAGCGCGCCCATCGTCCGCCGGCCGAGACTGCCGGTCGAGGGCGACCACCCACTTGCCGCTGACCAGCAACCCACATAACATAATGGGCGAGAATGTTATGACCGCCTAGCACCAGCCAATCAAGCGCGAGGTGATGATCACGCGTCACGAGGACAACGGATTTTATTTTCTGCCAAGGACTGGTCGAGCACACCGCGGGGTCCGCTGCCGGAGTGGCCTGCGAGTGGGGTGGCGGGTGGTGTGAGCGTAGGAATTCGGGGTGTTTGGTGCTCATGATGGGTCGATAGGCGTCGTTGTAGAGCATGCGGTAGTCGGGACCCCAGTAGATGACCAGCGGGAAGCAGGAGAACAGGCAGATGGCGATGGCCTCATGCATGACCTGTGCAGAGCCGCAGCACTACTCGAAGATAGTGTCGTGGTGGCTGCCCTCCATCGCCATCGCAGCTGTGGCCCCGCAGGCGATGACGACGTCGGCTCTCTCCTTTCCTCGCTGCGCTGTCGTACGAGCTGCGAACGCCACTCACTCCCGCGCTCCTGCTGTCCGAATCGCTCTCAGTTCGTTTGTGTAGCGGGGTCTTGCGCGCGCCACATTCAAGACATTGACCGTTCTCACGTATGGCGCAGCTGAGGGTGCACTTTCGGAACGAGCGGAAGAGAGCATGCAGATGATTGACGAATCGGTCGAGCTCAAGGTGCGGCTTATCCACGACCTACTCGACTTCACCAAGATCGCGCCGCACTATCCACTTATTTTTCATTCCCTCAAAGCTTATTCATTCGTTGTGACGTGTCCAGTAATAAGCTGAAGCTGGCCGTGCAAGAGGCAGCGGTGCACGAAGTGCTCGGGCGCACTCTCCAAATCGTCGGGCACGAGATCAGCGCGAAGAAGCTCACCGTGTCGACCCACCTGCCACGCCCCTGTCGACCACATCGGCGATCCCCTCGTGCTCTACGAGCTGCTCCAGTCGTGCGTAGCGACCAAGGGCACCTACGAGGAGAAGATCGAGCAGAACGCCATCCCACGAGGTGTCCAACAAGCGCAACGAGTAGCTCGCCGGTGACATGAAGAAGGCCGACGACGCCGGTGTGGAGTACGCGATGAGCGTGGACCCGGCCTTTGCGATGGCCGAACAGATCGACGAGCTGCTCAAGGGCTGCTGGCCCTGGACGAGAAGGGCACCCAGCTCAAGGACGCGCGGGCCAAGGACCCCAGCAGGCCAGCCTTCGTCAAGAGCATGCTCGACGCGCGGCCAAGCAGCTGGGCGCTTCCAAGGGCGGCAAGCGCAGCAAGCACGTCGTGGAGGCCATCAAGCTGGGCCAGGAGGGCTTCGGCCAATTTGTTCACACTCTACTTTTGAAAGGTCTTGTCTTGTTGTTCGACTTCATGTACACGTTACGCTACCGAAGAGCGCCTTCAGGGCAGGTCGCTGAGAGAGGGCGCAGGACCTGCGTTGTTGGTTGTAGTGAGCCACTTCCCTGGTCTGAGGGGGGCAATAAAAGAGAGGGGGTTTACCAAAGTCGCTGCGCTTGGGCTTCTGGTGCTGGCGCTGGAACTTGCCCTGGTTGCTCATGTCCCCCGAGTGGCCCGTCGACGACCACCTGGCCAGACGCCCCACCGCTTCGCGTCAGGAGGAAGAAAGAGCGAAAGAGAACGAAAGCGAAGAACGAAAGAGAGAAAAGCGAAGGGGAGGGGGCACGTACGTGGTCTTGCCCTTGATGATCTGAGGCTTGGGTTCGGGCTTGGCAAGGTCTTCGAACTTGTTCTTGAGGCTTCCAGCACCCGCAGGGGCTGAGTTCACCTTTTCCACCACAATCAGAATCAAGGGGGGGGGAACGTGCTACGATCGAAGTAAAAAGACGTCAGTTGGCAGAAGTGCTCACCTTGGCTTGCTGCTTCCAGGGATTCGATTCGGCCATCTTGCTTGTCTTACAGAAGAATGCAAGAGCAACGGATGTAATTAATGATTTCACCAATTATTTCGCAAACATTTCGTTATTTCACCAAACAATCGGGAACTACTGGACCAGGTCACCTGATTGGCCGAAGTCATAACGGCGAGGATCCTGCTTTATCTTCTTCGCTCTTTCAGTTCTTCCGTTGTTTTTCTGCCCAGACAGTTTCAGTTGTTTATCTGCACCAGCACAATGCCCGGCCGCAACGTCGTAGGTTTGGTTTTGGTCGTGGCCGTCTTCTTCGTCGCCTCCGCTCTCGCCGTTCCCCAGTGGCCTCTCCAATGGTACCTTCACCTTCCACTCCACAATTAACAACTCACGAATCCAAAGAGAGAAGAACGAGAATCTAAACACCCACTCCTTTGGACCCGCACGAAACAGGCAGTCGGAGTTCAACTTCGTCAACGTGTCGAACCGCGTCCTCCTCAACTATGGCTCCGTACCCACCTCGCTAACTAATCCTTCACATATGACGGTAACTGACTTTTGATGATCTTTCACACATAGTACCACTTCAAGAGCGACGGTAAGACCACGCAGCTGCGCATCGACAACTTCAACTGCCCCGTCGGCGACCGCTCCTTCTTCTGCCGCGTCATCTTCGCCCGCGACACCAACGTGCGTGCCCCCTCTGTTTGTTGCTTTTTGTTATGTTCGTTTTAACTCCGAACCTGACACCAACGTGTGCGCTGGGGGAGCAGTGCTATCTGTACGCGCCCGAGAGGAACAACCTGTGCTGCCTCCTCGTCCCCGGCCTCCTCGCCACCGGACCCAACTGGCTCCGTACTCTCCGTTCTTTTCCATTTTTTATATTTATTTTATTTTGTTATTTTATTTAAAATTAATTCATGGTTTTATTTTTATTTCTTCTTGTTCTGAAACCTCTTCCTGTCGTCATGATCAGACAATGCGACTTTCCTGGGCATCAAGGAGTACCAGCACCAGAAGACCAACGCCTGGCTCAACGTACGTACCACCGCTTGCCAGCTCTTCGTTCGAATGACGCCTGAGAAGAGTGTTGCGGTGGGTAATATTGATCTCGCTACAATCATGTGATGACGGTGGTGGTAACGGCTGTATAGACGCCCAACAAGGACATCTACTACGAGACGCTGAAGACCAAGACGGCCGCCTCCGACCCCGTGGCCCTCGCCGACAGCTCCACGGCCCTCGAGTGGAACACCTTCCGACGCGGCGCGCAGGTGTGTACCCCTCGTTCCTTCAGTCCCACACAGCTCGCTGGTCACGCTTGCAGCCCTAACCACGCATCCCCCCCTCTGAAGAGCGATTCCCTGTTCGCCATGCCGCGCGATGGCTCCTGCCAGAAGCCCTGCCATTGTACTTCCACCCTCCTCTCGCTTCCTTTTCGTCACACCCTTTTGTTCGAATAGCTCAACACCTTTCTATATTCTCTCAACGAACTGGTGCGCAGTCAGTCGCACGGTGGAGCTGCCCCTCGTTCCCTTCATCTCCGCCCAGTAACGTTGCTGTTGTGCGCTCACACGTCGTTGAACAACTCGACTAAAGAAAGCTCTCTTTGATTTACACCCCACGCACACGCACGAGTTCGGAGCTAAAAGATTCAGGCCCACTCGCCAGAGCTGAGGGGCGGTGCGGAGGAGTGGAGCCGCTTGTGGAGGTGGAGCTCCTCGAACGGCTTCGAGTCGGAGCGCAGGAAGTAGCGCTCGTCGACCTCCTCCACTCCCTGCAGCACCCGGCCCGCCCGCCCGAGCTCCTGGTCCAGCCGCGCGGCCGCGCCCACCAGGATCACCTGCGCGCCCTCCTCGTCGAGCAGCGTGGGCGGGTTCACGGGGACGAAGGTGGTCGTCGTAGGGGCGGGCGGGGGCGACTCGGCCGGCTCCTCGGGCAGCGGTGCCAGGCCGCCCAGGTAGGCCTGCACGTCGCGCTCCACCGCGGCCGCGAGGTCGCGAGCCCGGCGGTCTTCGCCGACGTGGGGCGCCGGCGGCAGCTCGTCGGTGGGCGGCTTGAGGACCGGGTTGCGCACAACGATGTGGTAGCTGCCCTCCTTGGGTATGTTGAAGCAGCGCTGCACTTCGCCCGGCTCGTGCGGCAGCTCGAGCACGAAGGCCAGGTGCGTGTGGCGCTCGTGCTCGACGATTCCGTACACGCCCTCGCCCACGGCCCGCACCTCGGGCACCAGCTGCCGCTTCTGGCCGCCGCCGCTGCCGACGTCGGTGGTGCTCTTCTTCGTGCCGTCGCCCTCCTCCAGCACCTTGCGCACATCGTGCAGATTCCCCACCTTGGCCACCACTCCTGATTTGTCACTCTTCAGTCTTCCGCCGAAATAAAACACAGCCAAAATAAATAAAGAACAAAGATATAAAATGCAACTATGTTGAAAGCACCTAGCAGACGCTCGTGCTGGTCGATGTCGGGCAGCTTCTTGCGGGGGATGACCAGGAGGCGCTTGTGGAGCGGGAGGGTCTCTTGGTTGATCACAGCCGCCGGGCTGGGTCCCTCCTTGGTGAGCTTCACCCACTGCTTGGGCGCCACCGGGTCCTCACCCTTGGGCGACAGCAGAACGTACAGCCTGTAGCACGTCAGCGTATGCCGTGCGTGGTGTGTGGTGTGTGGTGCGTGGTATGTGGTGTGCGGTGTGTGGTGTGTGGGTGTGTGTGTGCCTGTGAGTGTGTGGTGTGGTACCGTGACACGTCATCGAGGTCGTGCGGCAGGCGATAGGGATCGTTCTCGAGGCGCGCCTTTGGCCGGTAGAAGAAGTAGACCAGCCCTGTATGCCCCCCCCCCGCGAATTTGAGTGCTCCGCCTACCATCAGGGAACAACCACAACACGTGGGTACCGGTCTCTAGAATGGCGGTGTGGCCGTGCTGGTTCTGGGTGTCTTTCTTGTGGTGCTCGCGCGAGTGCTGGTGCTTGTGCAATCTGTGCGGGGTGTAGCAGCGGGAGGGCACCCAGGCCAACACCCTCTGCTGCGATGCCACTCGACCGACCCTTCCGATGCCGCGCTGCAACATGGTCCTATACTACTACTTCACTTGCTCTTGAGAAACTTGTTGTGGCCCTGTGCGGTTGGTTTTGCACATTCACCACCCGGCCACATGAGCGCGTGCCCACAGAACATCAGAGGAGCTGGATTTCGACGAGTTTGCAAACGAATGTCAAACTTAGTAGAGAGAATGTTGAGCAACGACACCGGGTCCCGGGAGGAGCACACTGATCTGGGTGTGGTAGCCACGAAGCTCAGACAGAGAACGACCATCCCAGTTGTTCGCTACTGTAAATTGCGTTATTATTATATTGTTTTATTACCATTTTCTTATTTGACAGAAATAAAATACTGGAGTAGGCACTGGCTTGACCGAGCCAAGGCTGCAATCCGCTCCTTTTCCGCCCGGCCTGTGCTCGACTTGTCGTAGAGCGCCTGCAGCACCTCCGCGCTCGGGGTACAGCACTCGAGACCCGCGCCGTAGCTGGAGAACGGGTCCACGCCCAGCAGAGCCGCCTCGGTCAGGCGCAGGAACGTGCTCTCCACTTCGCTTCCTGTGAGGCTGCTGGTTTTGGCCCAGCCGGCGGCGCCCAACTCCAGGGCTAGCGCTTGGCCCTCCTCCGGCGACACTTGCCTCTGATGCTCCAAGTCGTTCTTCGTTCCAACTGTCAATACACACACCACACAACACATCACACCACACACACGACACACACAACGATGCTTTGTTGGTAAGCTGACGGTCACCGTCACAGGACAAGGGAAGGACTGTAACATACCAAGGATGAAGGGCATCATGTCAACATGGTCGACCAGGCTTCGCCGCGCCTCTTCGACCCAGTACTTGGCATTCTCCCACGAGCTTCGCGCGGTGATGTCGTAGATCACCAGCAGGCCGCGCGACCCTCGGTAGTACGCCCGCGTGATGCTGCGGAAACGTTCCTGGCCCGCCGTGTCCCACACTTGTGATGAAAGCAGAATCCAGGTCAGCCAAAACGCACAAGATCGAACGCGCGCGAGGGACCCCGCCAACAGAGCGAGAAAGCGAGGCTGCCAGAGGGGTGATTACCTTGCAGCTTGATGCGCTGGCCGCACATCTCAATTGTTCTGATGCCAAATTCAATGCCGATGGTGCTGGAGTATTGACGGAATTTGTCTCTCAGAAAGCGAGTGTGGAGGCAAGTCTTGCCCGCACCTGTTTTTTTGGCGAAAGAACACGAGAGTCAGCGCCATTGAATCGCCAACAGCTGCATCATCCAAGCATAGGCCTCACAATGAAGCGCACCGCTTTCGCCGATGAGGTTGAACTTGAAAATATGGTTGTAGTCCGCAGATTGATGCATTGATGGTAGAGGGCCCCAACATCCCAGGAATGCAGGCTGGAGGAAAAAGCTGATTGGGTCTAGGGGGGGGTCAAAGATAGATTTGTGATTGGGTTTAGGGGGGGTCTAGTATTGTTTTTCGATTGGGTTAGTTGGCTGATGTTGTGTGGAAATCTTGCTGGAAGGAGGGCCATGTGGGCCCACAGGGAGCTTGCCCAGACTTGCCCCAAGTGGAGCCAGAAGATGAACACATCAATGTTGCCACATCTCTTGCCATGTCTTGCAGTCACCACACCCACACAGGTGCACATGAGTGACTGGGAATGTAAATGTAAGCTGCAAAGGAAGATCCAGAAGAAGAAATGGAAGAGGAGAAAATATAATTGAGATTGAGTGAACTACACTTGGAGACAGCAGAGATCTTCAGATCCACAGCCACCGCTATCACTGTACCATCACCACGCTGGCAATAATGTAATGCACCATCTCCTGTGCAATTCTTCTTTCCCCCAATCTGACTGGCCCTCATGCCCATGTTTGCCAATTGTCATGCCCAGGCCCACCATCATGCCCACGCCCACCATTGCGCCTGCTCCCACCGTCGTGCCTGTGTCCACCGTCATGCCCACACCCACCGTCATGCCCACTCCCACCATCATGCCCGCGCCCACTGTCGTGCCTGCTCCTACTGTCGTGCCCGCGCCCACCGTCGTGCCCACACCCACCATCGTGCCTGCGCCCACCATTGTGCCTGCACCCACCGTCGTGCCTGCGCCCACCGTCGTGCCCGCACCCACCGTCATGCCTGCGCCCACCGTCGTGCCCGCGCCCACTGTTGTGCCCGCGCCCACCGTCGTGCCTGCTCCTACTGTTGTGCCCGCGCCCACCATCGTGCCCGCGCCCACCGTCGTGCCTGCTCCCACTGTCGTGCTCGCGCCCACCGTCGTGCCCGCGCCCACCATCAAGTGCGTACCGTCACCTAATCACGTGTAGGAATGCACCCTACCACACTCACACCTCACATACAATCATGTGCAGGCCCTTGTCCACCATCATGTCCTCATCTACAGTACCACCCACACCACCATCCACTGTAGCACTCAGGCCAACACCCTCGGCCACAGCCATGACCACAACCACCACCATCACAACCACATACAGACGCCTTCCCTTCATGTTCCAAGTGTATAAATGCTCATATATATGTGAATTTTTAGGCCCACATTGTTCATACCACTCAGGAAAGGGCGTGTGTTCACCCTGGCTGTGTGGCAGCTGACCAGCAAATTGTGCAGGAAAGACTTTGTCTCCTTCAAATGTGTTGGAAATGTCATCCAGCATTTGGCCCGTCACATGTGCAACAAGACAGTGGTTGGCCCTTCACCAGAGACCAGCATGTGTATCCTGGTGGAATTCTTGTTGGCTTGGTGTTACAACGTTAGTAAATGCCTTGAGACAAGCAAAGTAAGTGGCATGTTCTAGAGTTGGTTTGTGTGTATAGAAGGAATGAGGGTAGGTACTAACATACTCACAATGTGCCCTACAACAGGATGTGTTCATTGCTCTTGATGGGACAACAAAAGGCCATGATTGTTCCTTCCTAGGGGTTTGTGTTGGTGGTGTCCAAAATGGAACATGGTGGTCAGTGATGGTGGATGTGCTGGAGATGATTGAGGGGAAAACAGCAGCAGAGCAAGCTAAGAAGGTGGCGCAGATGTGGGACGACTTATGAGCATGGCAGCAGTGGCAAGGAGTGCAGGACACAGACCTTGACACCATCTGCTCCATCACCTTCAACAACACTGCAGATAATCAAGGAGTGAAAAAGGGACTCAGAGTGGCCCTTGACCAAGAGAGAGAGGAGTGGGCAAGAAGGGAGTGGCGTACAGGCCGCTGGTGGAGAAGGGCTGTGGTGATCACATCATGAGCCTGTGCATGAAGGAGTGGGAGAAGAGAGTGGTGAAGAAGGTGGGAAAGGAGTGGTGGAACCTCAAGCCAATGCAACGCCCCCACAATGTGAGGACATACCTTAATCAGTTCACCTCCACAATGTACCATCTTGCATGGCAGTTCAGTCATGAGTGGAAGGGCAAGTGGGAAGGCTTCATGCAGCAGTTCAGCATCAAGGGCAAGCCTATTCAGAGGGTCACACAAGTGCAATTTGTGAGCACTGACCAAGTTGCACACCAAGTACTAAAATGGTACACCTCACCACCACAACCACCACAACCACCACAACCACCCTCACCCCCACATGCACACCCACGCCCACGCTCACGCCCATGCCCACACCCACACCCACGCCCACATGCACACCCACACCCATGCACACACACACACCCATGCCCATGCCCACACCCACACCCACATGCACACCCACACACACATGCACACTCATGCCCACACCCACACCTACCACAACCACCACAACACCATCACCAACATTGCAGTATCACTAACCATCACTTTCCATTAGGTACCCACTGATATACCTTTGGTATCTCTCCATGCATGGGAGCTTGACACAGAAGGACCATGATGACCTGTGTGCTCTGCTCAACCCTGACGTTCTGCATATGATACAGATCAGTGCCATTGGCTTACAGGTAACTCACATGCTCACCACATCATTAGAAAATAGTCATTATTGATGTTACCTGTCACCACAGGCACTCCTTGGACTGTTCATGAAGCATCTGCCAAAAATCAACACGGTGGGGGAGTACTGTACCCATATTCAAGAGCTGCACAACACCGTCTCTGCACTCCTCACTGACCCAGCCAAAGCAGATGCCTGATCATGGTCTTGACATCTATTGCATGATGTCTGCTGACCTGCAGCGTGCCATACATCAGTTAGCAACAGAGCACCCTGATCAAGTCCCCACCAGCCCCCCTCAACTACCCTCCTTCTTCCTCTCAACATCAGCCACATCTCTATCTCCCCTCACACAAAACTCCACCACCATCACCACACCGTCCACCATCACTGCGTCCTCCACCGTCACCGCGCCCTCCACCGTTGCCGTGCCCTCCACCGTCGCCGTGCCCTCCACCATCACCGTGCCCTCCACTGTCACCATGCCCTCCACCATCACCGTGCCCTCCACTGTCTCCGTGCCCTCCACCGTTGCCGTGCCCTCCACCGTCGCCGTGCCCTCCACCATCACCGCGCCCTCCACCGTTGCCGTGCCCTCCACCATCACCACGCCCTCCACCATCACCACGCCCTCCACCATCACCATGCCCTCCACTGTCGCCGTGCCCTCCACCGTCACCGCGCCCTCCACTGTCACCATGCCCTCCACCATCACCGTGCCCTCCACTGTCTCCGTGCCCTCCACCGTCACCGTGCCCTCCACCGTTGCCGTGCCCTCCACCGTCGCCGTGCCCTCCACCATCACCGCACCGTCCACCATTGCTGCGTCCTCCACCATCATCACGCCCTCCACCATTGCTGTGCCCTCCACCGTCACTGCGCCCTCCACCATCACTGCGCCCTCCACCATCACCGCGCCCTCCACTGTCACCACGCCCTCCACAATCACAGGCCAACACAACACAAGGGTGGGACGAACCCAGAAACAGAAGCCATCTGGTCCTCCTCCTCTAGCAGCGCGGCGTGCTGTCTACGTGCGGCTCTACCTGCGTGCCATCATCAAGACCATCACAAAATTCGACAGTAACTTCCTGCGTGGGGGTGAGTACACCACCAATCCCGACCTCCACTCCCTCCACCTACATACCACTACGCGAGACATCAAGCAGATCTTTGCCAAAGTCAACTGGCTCTTCCACATGAAGAGCTACTCGTTGCGAGCAGTGACTCTCCCAGGCTTCCTTGCCATGGAGGAGGCCCCCAACAATCCAGACCTCCTGCAGGAGTATGATCAGTATGGGGTATACCCTCCCTGCCTTTCCTATTCATTGCAGGGTAGCAATGGGGCTAACGGACACCAGCTGTGCAAAGAAGCATGCGAGCTCCTTGCAGCACAGCCTACGCACGCAGAGATCCATGCTTGCAAGGCAGTCTGTTTCCTGCACCAGAAGCAAATGGAGCGGCAACAGGACCAATGGCGGAAAGAGCAGCGCCATGAAGACAGGGCTATAGTCAAGACACTGGCAAGGCATGGCATGAGGGTGCAGGGATGACTTACCAACAACATAATGTACACATTCCTTCAGGAGGTGAAGAAGCATGACTGCAAAATCCACCTTGGCAACAAGCGGCGGGCAGACCTCATTGCCAAGATTTGGGCCTATGACAGCCACACCCCCACCATACAAGAGCCAGGTGAGGATGACAAGCATGAGGAAGAGGAAGAGCAGGAGCAAGAGCAGGAAGGGCATGTACAATGACCAACTGGAGAGAGAGGAGGAAGATGGGGCTGACCACAGGGCTTGTCATGAAGAGGAAGCTGAAGAGAGTGATGGGGAGGAGGAAGAGGCTGACAACTATGATGACAATGACAACAATGACAACAAGGAGGAGGAAGGGCATACCATGCCATCTATAATGTTCAGGAGTCCCCAGCACCACCACATCATGGCACAACACTGTTCACGCGGCCTGTGTGCCTGAATTGATGCCCTTGGTGTTGAATTTCTCTCCTGCCTTCATTGCCTCTCTTCAATCTCTCTAGTGATTGTTTGCCTCTCCTTGCCCAGAAACAAGATTCACAGATTTCCATGTTTTTCTTTTTTTCTTGTTACCATTTTAGGGGAAAGAAAATTCCGAAGATTACTTCAAATGCTGTTAAAATGGGTTCCAGGGTGAGGGAAACTCATTCTTCCACTTTGCTGCCACCACCCATGCATTGAGTGCACGCTGAAATAACAGAGAAGCTGTGAAAGCTGGCCCTTGAGCTTCATGAAGAGAGGAAGAGTGCATGGATGTTGTTACCATCTGTTACTGAGATGCAAAAGCTCAAGTCTTCATCAACCACCTGTGTGTGAGGGGTGTAAAAAGCATGACCCTCAAAGTCACACGTCAGGAGCATGGCCAGCACACAGGGTCTTGAGCCAGAGTTCTTGTGTGGCACTTTCATGATATGGGTTGGTGACTTGGATGTGACCCAAATTGTCCCCACATCTCATCTTCTGCAACATCTACTATGCACACTCCCTTTTGGCGACGGCCAGCGCCATAGGATCTTCCTACCCTTCTACTCCTACGAGGTCGACTTCCATGCACACCACAAACTCAGTGTGGAGGTGCATAACCCTTGCACTGGCTCCAGCTCCAGGACATGGGTGTCTCAGTCCCACTTCACCGACATGGCCATTGCTGTGGAATATCGGGTTGTGGTCAGAAGAGGCCTTTAAGGGAGCAGTGGGGTCTGGAGTAAAATAAAATTGAGCACCATGGGGCTCAAGTGAGCAGATCAGCGCTCAAAGAATGTGCGTCAAGAAAATGGATTTAAAAAATTTCAACTATGCGGACATGACCGTCACATGCGCAGTAGAAGCTCTCGCCGGTGGTACTCCAGTGCTTGAACGCGCTCCTGGATGCGTTGCTTCCGTGCCGACGGTGGAGGTGTGTTGTGCTTGAGGACTCGTCGAAGTTGCTTGATCTCCTCCATCACCTCCATGGCTTCGTTCTTGGCGGCAATGCTTGAAGGAGAGGGGAGGATGTGCAGCGCCAGTTCCTCAAGGCGCTCGTCAAAAGTGCGTGGGCGGTGTTGTGACAGCGGAGGAGGCAGTGCGGTGATGGCTGGAAGGGTAGCAAGAAAGTCCCCCAGGTCGAAGCTGTCTTGTTGCAAAATGAGGGGAGCAGAGGATGGTACGGGTGCTGAGGAGGGCACAGAAGACAATGAGTGAAGGGAAGCAGCAGGTGTATGTCCTCAATGATGTCAGACAAGGCTCCCCTTAGCCTTGTAGCGTTTTGTGCACCCAGGATAGGTACATGCAAAGGGCTTGCCATCCGTGGGTGATGGAGGCTGAGAGGCTGTGGAGGATGATGAGTGGGATAGTGAAGAGTAAGATGAGGATGAAGAGGAGGAAGAGGAGGATGATGATGATGATGATGATGAAACTTGAGGAAAGGTAGGTGGTGAGACAAGGGGTGGTAAATGGTTGAGCTGCATGTCTTCCTTGCCTGCTTTCTCCTTCCCTTTGGCTTGTTTTGCTGATGGTGCTGAAGATGGAGGACCAGTCTGCCTCTTGGATGTTGGTTGTGTTATCTCCTGTTGATCATGCCAATCAGCAGTTGGCTGCACATGTGCACACACACACAATGGGGCACATACTGTGGGCATGTGACCAAAAACATGGTCCTGTACATGCTGAAGCAGTGTTGCCTTCAACTCACTTGACCTGCAGGGAAGCTTGTGCTCAACAAGGTATGCCTTGAGGTCTGCCATGACCACTATCACTCACATAAGAAGAGCAGCCACACACCACACTGTGGGGAAACGCACACTCTCCCACTCTATGACCTTGCACACTGTGGGCCACAGACTGGGCTGAGGCTATCTTGGGTTTGTAGGTCACTTTTTTCTTTTGTTGGGCTGCCTCTCCTCGCCTTTCTGTGCGCCACACCAGATGACCAGTTAGGGCACCACACATGTGCCAGGAAATGTTGTGTACTTGTTTCAGCCTGTGCTTGAGCTCCTTATGCTGTTGTTTGTACTGCAGGGTGTGCTTGTAGGCATCTCACTTAGCCCAGTTCCTGACACACCTGCGCCAGGTGGCTTCATGGTGGTGGTTGATCTTGAATCCAAGATGATGCAACACATCCAGAAGTGATGTGCTCCCTAACATGTAGGTGTCAGCACAGACATATGCATAAAAGGGTGAGTGGGCAAGCAGAAGGGTGAATACTTTCATTCCGCTCAAGTATCCCAGCATCAAAGAGGGGCCCATACATGACTGTCAGATTGCGCCGCTTGTCTGCTTGCTTGGCTGCTGAGCTGTTCAGAGACTTGATCTGGTTGGTATTGAATCCATGAAGGTAGCGCTGTCAATCATCAACGTAGCCCTCTATGAACACCCAAAGTGCGTCAACCGCTGCTGCATCATTGACCGGGTGCAAGTGGGGGGTTGTCTTTTGTGGCTGTGGGGCATGCAGACACTGGGTGTGGCACTCGTCCGTGGTGTGAGGCACAAACCCACGCATGTGGCTGCAGAATGCCTCTTCATTCCAGTGATACTTGACACCTGCACAACCTCCCCACACCAGCGCACACACCCACCACATGACATGATCAACACACAAGTGGTGCTGGTGTTTTACAGGTGTGCTGGCGTACCAAGTAGGAAATGAGTCTTCAGTGAGGCGCCCAGGTCTGCCAAAGCAGGGAAGTCTTCAGTAAGGTGTTCAAAGCTCTTGATGAGACCCTTCACATAGTGGTTAGGATCTTGATTGATGGTGATGTCCTTGCCAAACTGAGCTTCCATGATTGTGTGGATAGCTGAGTCCCCATCCGCAGTCACTGAGGTGAGTACAATGCCAGCCTCCTGAGTGTTCATAAGTGGGCCAGATATCAACAACAGGGCAAGCAGAAGCAGAAGTCAGTTGTGGTGCATCTACCTTGAGCCAGGCAAGCACAATCACTGAGCCATCACCTTCAGCAGTACTGGAAGTGCCTGTGTAGGTGTGGAGCTCATGCTGAGGGGCGCCAGAAGCAGTGTCCTTTTGCATGTGCTTGCAGGCAATGATTCCACCTTTGGTGTTTTCTGCAGCAATAACAAGCCAGATGGTGCTGGTTGAGCAGGGGTGCTAAGATGGGGTACTGGGACATAGGCACATACCTACTTGGGCATCCTGAGCCACAATAGTAGTGTCATTGGCATGCCAACCACGTGAGTCGTAGCGGGTGTCCATGGCGATATGTGCCCTCTCTCGGCAAAGAAGAGCAGCAAGCTTGTCTGCCATTGAGGCATTGGTCAGTGTTGTAAGAATTGGGCTGACCTGACAAAAATGTGTGGCAAAGTGATAAAAAAAATTTCAATAATTACAAGTTGAATCAGCTGAAGGAGAATGGATGGAGACTTGTACCACTTTCTTCATCAGTTGTGCAAACCCTGTCCTCTCAATGGGTAGGATCCCACCGGCAAGGGCAAATACTGCTTCGAGCCATTCAAATCCAATTCCAGCGATCCCCCACGCGACCAGGAATCGAGTGGGGGCGTCTCAACAATGAGGGTTCGAGGCCATGGGGGATGTACTTGTGAACTTGACGAAGAACTTGCAGGTCTACATTGAGCATCGAATGGTTGTGGAGAATCCTCCACCCACCTCCCGCCAATCCTCACACCGCAACGTCGCAGCCTCCATGCAGTGGGGGCACGCCATTAGCCGGAAGACCGCAGCAAACTGCTCAAGCTCAATAAAGCCAAAGCAGTGCTTGGGCTGCACCTTTGCCCTCGCTCAGGTTTGCCGCCATGGTGGAGAGGCACTTCGGCAGCTCTTGATCCGCGCCAGCTTGGCCCATCGACGTTTCCGCTCTTCCTGGCACCGTTCCTTCTCCTCTCTTGCCCGCTGCTGTTGCTCCCGCCGCTCCTTCTCTTCTCTCAATTTCTCTTCTCACTCATGACGTTGCTTCTCCTCCGCTGCTTGCCTCTCTTCATCTGCTTTTCACTTGCAGTTTTCCTTTCATCTAGCAATCTGGTTGGCGTTGTGCCTCTCCTTGTAGGCCCTGCGCACAACAGCAGGGTCAAGAAGTTGGAAATTCAACAGCTTCGCCTGCTCCTGTGCGTTGTTCATCTTGTGATACCCTCCGCGTACTGCGGCCCTGCCCCTAGGCACCACGCTTCTTCGTAACTTTTAGTACCCAAAAGTTTGGTTTTTTTGTGCACCACACAATACCACAAAATCCAGAGCAATAAAACGCACTTGGCGCATTCTTCGAGCGCTGATCTGCTCACTCGAGCCCCACGGTGCTCAATTTTATTTTACTCCAGACCCCACTGCTCCCTTAACCCTAATTCTCGCCCCTCCCTCAATCAAAGTACCACCCAGCCTGGCCACTTGTGCCCCCCTTCTCTCTCTCGAATAAAGTGTCCATACGAGGCGCGCGGCCAAACGAATGGATTCTTCACCTTGACAAGAATAGACGTTCCCATGTAGCAAGAAAACAGTGCACACACACCGCCGCTACTCGCGCCTTTTAGTGGACATAACTTTTAATTTTTTACAAGAATTTGTTTGGCCCACACACGCTACTGGCTCTCCAGCGCAGCTAGTGACTTTTCGATACCGTCGAGCCTCACTCTGATACGACGGCACTCCTGCATAACGGCGTCTAATTCTTCCTGGTTCATAGCCACGAATAAATTAACTACAACACACATACACACATACACAAGTATTTATACCTGAGCGTCCCCAGCCCCGCCGGACCCAACGCGAACGCCGCGCAGGCCGTCAGAGTGCCGTGCCGGAAGCCCGTCAGGAGGGTCGCAGCCGTCACGTACGTCCCACCGATGAGTGCGACAGCTGAAAAAAACAACACCATGCAGCAGCAACGCAAGCGCCCTCGTATTGAAGAAACAAACATCAGCGGCCTGCCCAACGAGATCTGGCTCCTCATCCTGTCGTTCGTGCCCGAGTGGCTCAACCTGCACTTTGTCTGCCGCGATTTCTACGCCATCTTCGATCGGATCTACTACGAGCCCAAACGCCGGCTCACCCCAAGGCCCGCGTTAAGGCGATCGAGAACGGCACCCATCGGTTCATCGAGCTCGCAGGAACTATCCGCCCCAGCAACCTCGACCTACTGCGCTGGGCTCGATGGGCAATCGGAGAAGCCTCTCGCATTCGGGACTCACGAGGATCCTGGTGAAGGGCATCGCATTGAACGATGCAAGGAGGGCAGATTTCGTGGCCTTTTGGGAGATGGGCTGGCCACAATATATCGATTTCGATTTCGACGACATATAATAAAACCATCCGTGGTTAGTTGGATTGTTGAACAGCTAGCGCACTGCTTGGGCATGTTGGGCCATAATGAGACAGAGCGCAAGCAACGTGAGGCCAAGGCCAGAGCATCGCAACACTCGCGAGAAGAAGCGTGGCCGCGTTGTGTGAGGTTGTTGACGCCTTTGTTGTGTTTCGAAAAGTGAGACTTGGTTTTGCGTCCCACGGTTGCCCAACAGCGGCCTATTGGTGCGATACTCCGGGCCAATAGCCACAATGTTGATTGTATACTGCAGATCCTCTATAGTGTCTAGAAGATTAAGCACAGGTACAAGGTACAAGATCGGTCTTGTTGAAGACTGGACAAGTAAGGTTCACGCCTGCAGGAACAACGCGGAGACCGAGCGCGAGGCCGCCAGGAAGAAGCCCGTGGCGACCGAGGCCGACGAGCCATCGCCATCGCTGTTGGCGCCAGCAGAGTTGGCCTGGGTGCCGTACTCGACGAAGCCCACGCTGGGCTTGCTCGCTCGCGCGTAGCCTGATCACCACCATCACAATGAATTGCAAGAACAGGAGAAAGTCTTGGAATCGCGAGCCATCGTCATCACCACAGTTGTGGGTGGGTGGTGGATGTACCGTTGTAGTCGGTTTGGACGCTAGCCAGAGCAACACCAACGCCGCGAGCCGGCGACGAGGCTCCCTGATGGCCGGCGCACGAGTTGTGAGATGTTGAGGCGTGTCAGCGCAGTAAAAGGAAGTAATACTAAAGTGATTGGTACCAGGTAAAAGTCGGTCAAGGGCGAGCCGATGGTGGGAAGGCGGCCACTGGCGAAGTTGATGAGCGTCGAATTGACGGCCAGCGATGTTCTCGTGCCCGACGTGTCGGTACAGTTGGTCGGAATGCTGATAGAAATGCACTTAGTCAGCACTGCCGCTGCACAAATGGAGGATTGGTACCGGTGGCTGGGTTGGTGCGTACGTGTTAACTCCGACCCAGACATTGTTGGAAATGGTCCACCCGCTTCTCTGTCCAGCTGCATAGCGTGCAAGATTTAGGTCGTGGCTGGCTGATGGGAGTGATGGGAGCGCGTACACATGCAAGTCCACGAGGGCTTGAGGGAAGCAAAGAGATGGTCGACCACATCAGTTCGATTGGTGAGCAAATGAATAAATAAATAGATAAAGATATGCGAGATAATGCGAATGTGGGTACCTTGGTCCAGATCAGGTTGTTCCTAAACTCGTTGCCCGACGACACGACGTTCCTTTGCTGCGGCCAGGTGAAGGGTCCGATCTGATTGTGGTGTAAAAAAACAAATCAATTCGGCATCGAAGTGAGTGTGTGCGCAGCGCCATGTGACGTGCGATGGCGTACTCCGGTGGCGTTCGGGTTCCAGATGGTGTTGTAGTAGATGCGCACATTGTTCACCCAGTTCTGAAGTCCAGCGCATCGCTGTGTTTAGGGCTGGAACTCAGGCACAGCTTGAAAGACGACGACGTACAGTGCCAACGTAAAAGTTGGAGATGCCATTGGTGCCAACGAGCAGGTTGTTCTTGATGGTCACATTGAAGCTTGGTTGCGGATTGGCCTGGATTTGAAGGCCCGCAACACCGTCAGCAGACATTTGAAAAATGTGAACGCAGCCACACAGTCGTACCATCCAAGTTTCGGCTCCTACGAGGATGCCGGTCGCCGGCCAGGTGTAGGTCGTGGTGCGGTAGTAGAAGGGGTTCTTGGAGTAGATGTAGTTGCTGTCGATCACCACACCGTCCGCGTTGTCCACATCTGTGTCGAGGTTGTGGGGAGGGGTTGAGCATGGTGGTGGAATCATTATGCACAAACCAGATGGGCACGTACAGATGTTGACAGAGTAGGTGTCGTAGACCACGTTGTGCCTAACAATACAGCCGGACACCTGGATGAAAGAGAGACAAACAGTGCGTCGCACCGAAGTGAGTTGATTTCGAATCCTAAAAGGCGGCAAGCTGAAATCAAATGGGACCTGAATGCAGTCGATGCCCTCGCCCCAGCTGTTGTAGACCTTGTTGTATTCGATCAGCCAGTTCTTAAGAGGCTTGCCTGAGCACGAGTTACTCCTGCGCGGGTGTGATTGTTGTTGTGTTGTAACGTCAGTCACACATACACACAGCAAAGGACTTGGGGCTGCGGCGGGGAGCATACGAGACAACTTGCGCCCAGGACCCGTATTTGCCAGCATAGTTTTGCATGCATCCATTGTAGACCGTGTTGTTGCGGAGCACCACGTTGTCACCACAGCCTCCGATTCCTCTGCAACCAACCAACTTCAGAATGGGCATGAAGTTGTGTGGGCTGAGAGGCAAAGATGTCGTGATTGTTTTGATGCCTTGCGTTCTAGGAAGTACCTGATCTGTACGTCATGCACCAGGCAGTTCTGGACCACAGTGTCACTATTGTAATAGAACGAAATACCTGTTTATATATGCAGAAGGAAGCAATGTGTTTAGAAAGACAGATGAATTTTCAGCCAAATGGAGGTGTGCTTACCGGACTGAGTCGAGTTGCGGACGATGATGTTGTCCAATATGATGAAGTGACAAATGTTGAGTCTCACGAGCCCCTGTGGAGTTGTGAAAATGGTTGTTAGGTCCGAAAGATTCCTGAGGTGGCGAGGGTCAAGGTGGGCCGACGAACCTGCCAGTCGCCAGGGGTCGCGGTGGTGCCATCAACAATGGCGCGCGTGCCGGGATAGCTGGTGATGGTGATCGGTTTGTCCTTCGTGCCCTGTGGGATGTTGGAATTCAACATGGTCAATCAACCTTAGGTCATCATTTCAGGTGGTCCGAACAACGTGAACGTACATTGATGTTCTGCAGGGTCTGCACCTTGGTGAACGTCCCTGCGAAATGAACACATGAGAGAAGCGAGATCATTGGCAAGAGTGGATTAAACGCCCAACACAAGACCCCATATCAGCCCTACAGTACCGCGCATGTAGACGATGTCGCCCGGCTTGACCTTGTAGCTGTAGATGGCGTCGAGCGAGGTGAAGTTGCCCTTCCCGCTCTCATCCACCACCCATGTTGTCTGCAGATGCACCACACACCCCCAAGTTGAGCGTCTTTTGCATGAGCCGATTGCACAAGTACCACCAACAGCACCCCTGAAGTTGACGGGAAATATACCGCTTGCGCGTATTGGACCAGTAGGAGACACAGGGCCAGCAGCGCAAAGCCGAGGCCAGAGTACCGCATCCCTTGCGAGAAGAATGGCTGCATCACTGTTGTTGTAGTTAACTGTAAGAAGCTCGGGTGAGGTCTGTGTCTGGTGTCGCAGTGTCTTTTAGGGTGTTTCGGTGGCCCAGGAGGTGGTATTGGGTAGCCCAAGATGATGGGGATTGGCGCAAGGGATCCGGTCGATCTCCGCCCCACTCCCGCGATTGGTTGGTGCCGATCCTAGGATCACAACAGCAATCGGCGGTATCATCCTTTCGGCTCTTTGGCTGAAGCCAATAAAATTTAATTCACGCCACGTCGTGCTGACTGTCTGCCGAATCGCGAATCGGCCAAAAGTCGAAAAAAAGGCGGATTTGGTTGAATCGAGCAATATTTTGCCAATCGTTTTCATATATATTTGAGATTAATTCCGGGAGTCCAATCGGGGCTCAGCCGAAAAGAAAATAGAAAGAAATCAGAAAAACATGACCCTGCTGCCTAAATGTGAGGCACTTGGAAACTGTTGTGGAGGGTCAAAGTTGTGTACTTTTTCGGGCAATTGCAAGCAATCGCAGTCGATCTCTGCTTTGCTTCCTTCACACATTATCCCACATTCCCAAATTGTGCGCATGCTTCAGAATCAACACGCCGACGGACACGTCGTCATCACCCTCGACAATGCGGTAGCCCGCCGCACGCGCCCTCGCCGCCTCCGATCCGATCAAAAAGATGCGCTGGAGCGTCCTCAGCATGTCGAAGTTCAGATCTGTGCCGCCGTCGTTGTGCTAGCCAGGATTAGGGTCCCGGTTTCGTCGTATCTCGCGAGCGCCGACAACAACAACACTTAAAAAACAGCACATGCATGGTGTCCGATGCCGGCCGAAGAGATCGCCGCCGCCGCCACGCAGCTGCCGCCGACGCCGACGCAACCTCGCTCCACTTTCTGGAAGAGGTGTTGCACTATCTCATCTCCTCCCTCGATAGACAGATTTTAGGCCAATGCCAGTGGACAGCGTTTTATTAGGGCAACGCCCCGCATTTTAAAGTGGACAGCGTTTTAGGGCAACTTTGTTGGTTCTTTTTGTCGGCGCCCTGACATTTTCCAGTGTGCGGAGGATAGCCACAAGCTCAGACCAACTACACACTCGCGAGCATGCAGGCCTGCTTCAAGTGGTTGGCTGTGGTGGTGATGATTGTGTGCGCGCTCTGCGCCGCCTCGAATGGAGCCGAACTGTTTTTAGCTCGGTACCAAGACAGCGGATGTTCAGTCCTCGCGGAGAACTACCAGGTCCAGCCTGACGGGAACTGCACGCCAAGCCAACCCTACGACTACGAAAGCGTCTTCTATTCGTTCGCCACTGACGTCGCCAACGCCACAGCTGCCAAGTAAGTGTTAATAAGAGATATCAGAGATCAGTTCTCGCCTTGAAGGTTGTTTATTAACCTCATTTGGTTATGGGTATAGGTATCGCTACGCTTGTGACTCCCAGTGTGAGGACTGCCTGGCTCAAGGGACGACAGTCTTCGGACACTGCAACTCTATCTTTTCAGCATTCGGTTATTCGGCGATCTGGCGCGCTCAGCCTGCCAAGTTGCAGGTCGAGTTCTTCTCTGACGCACGATGCACCACTCTCCTGCCCGAGCTGAGCGGTGCCTTCGCCAGTGGTGTGTGCATGGCCAGCAAAGAGCTGAACTACAACTCGCGCTACTCCTTGGTGAATGGAGAGAAGGGACAACCGCTGGTCCTGTATGGCCTTGGATGCCCCCGCACTACCTGTTCTTTTTGCTACCCATATGGCCAGGCTCAACTCAACACCTGCTTCCAAGTCGGTATGATATACTTGCCGCCGCACATGTTCCAATATCACTACCCTTGAGTGACCATTCTTCATCTTCTTGACACGAATCAATCAACTAACACCAACTTCAGCCCCCTGGCGCAGATGGGCAAAGGTGAGCATCGTAAACTGAACCACTGCGGCGACGACATGCGACTCCGGCGGACGATGGACGACATGCGACTCCCAACATGCGACATCCTCCTTCCCTTGTTTCCCTTCTGCTCCCTTCGAGGGTTGACCAACTATGACTTTTTCGCCTTTGTCGGCTCAGAGCTGGGGGGGCTGTTTCTTGCTGGAGGAGACCAGCTCGGTGAAAACGTTGGGTACGGCCTTACCAAAAGCGACAGGGACAAAGTTGGGGGGTGGTGTTTTATTTACCCCAGAGGCCATGAAATTGTCAAACACCTTTCTCACCACTTCGTCGTTGCATCCGCCACCCACCACAACCGAGAGCGACCCCTTGGCTTGCTTGACGTTGGACATGCAGGCCTTCCCCTTCACGATGAGCTTGGCATCCTTGTCGATTTCACAGTTGTTGTCCATGTGAATCCACTTGGCTGCTGTCAGGCATAAGACAGAAAAACACACAAGTGTAAAAGGCCAACACCACAACCATGCAGCAGTCCAACACCAAGCACGCCCGCACCAACACCAACTCCTCTCACACCTGCAAAACCCTGACCTTCAAGACCTCTGACAACCAACACTTCCCCATCAATGTCTCCAAGGGCAGGCACACAGCAACACACTACCTGATGCTCCTCAGATCAGATCACATCATCAATGTCAATCTGACCACCACCAATTTCCAACCCCTTCAACTGGCTCTTTCAATGTTGGACCCCAACAACAAGACCCCCAACCTCATTGTCTGTGCTGCCCTCATGTCAAGTGTCCATCCAATCACCAGATGGCTCAAACAATGTTGCCCAATTGCCCAATCATTGGGCATCAACAACATCACAAAGCATCCAGAGCACATCATTGGTGGTGATCTCATGCCATCTGGACAACACCAATGTGCATGTGGCCCCAAGATCCCTGGCCAAAAGAAGGGAGAAAATCATGAAAAGAAGCTTGTTGGGCACCTTGTCCATTCTCTCACAAAAGCCAACAATGGAAGGTGACACAAGTCAGATTATGGCGCTTCCACCCGCTCTGGATGGTCTTTGGAACGCCGCCACTGTGTTCAAAGGATCTTCTCTTGTCACTCACCCCATGTTCACGCCACCTCCACGACCAAGTCATCACCTACCTCCAGCATGTGACCATCCAGATCAATTGGTTGGCAAATCTGGATAAATTGGCGATAATCCCCAGTTTTGTCATGCATCTGCACATGGATCACATAGACAGCAACCACTGGACCAGCCAAAAGATGCCGCCCAGGCTTGTATCACTAGATATCAGCATACAATCACACAAAGGGATCACCAAGGCCATCCACAGGTCACACCTCAAACAGATCATGCTGAGGATCCAAGATCCCATTTCATCATCGCCGCAGGTGATCTTGCCCAAGATCATTGCCACGACAAGAACGCACTCCGTCTGCATCAAGTGCCAACACATCATCCACAAGGAATGCTGTATGGCCTGCTTGTGGTGCATTGTCAACTGGCACAAGGGCATACCCATCAATCGATGGTGGTGCAGGAGGTGGTGATGTGAGTGACCAATTGTAATAACACGTAAAATCACCATTTCCTGGGCCAATAAAGAGTGCAGCGTTCATTCTTCTTCTTATTTGTGGCCACCATGTTGGACTGTACGAGCGCCTGCATTGACCAGCTCAGCATGTGCATAAACAAGAAGAAGGCAAGGCTTCAGAAATATGCCCATGCCACAAACGACCTTGTGTGGTTGAAGAACAGCATCTGGCGACTCAAAAGTGTGCAACTGGAGCTCATGATGACATGTGAGGATGCCGAAAACGTGGTCTCGTGCATGTTGGAGGGCATGCAGCATGAAATGTGAGCCCAACTCAAACTGTTGGGCAACGAAATGCCCAACCATGTGTACTACGTCAAGGACCCTCGCTGGTTCCTCTGCGATGAACACAACAAAGGACACCCTGAATCCAGGCTGATCTGCATTTGGTCCCTCAACAAGGACGATCTCAAGCTCACACCATCTGAACAGAGGGCGTTCAAGCGCCTCAACATAGTGTGGACCATCTGCCTAAAATGACAGATGGTGTGTGGAAAGATCTTGGTCCTCATAAATAAACAAACACAATCCACTTTTTCATTCTCCATTCACACCAGCCATGAACGCTGAATCCGAACTCCCATCCGACGTATCTCTCACCAAGACCCTGGAACTGCGCTGTTCTGATGGTTCCATCTTCGCCCCCGCTTTGCACATTTGGCGCCTGCCTTTCCTGCACCAAGCCCTCATGGAGTAGGTCATCAACCCGCCGATCCAACCGTCCGGCCTGCCCAAATTTTTGAGGCCCGCTCGATACATTGAACGCAGCATCGCGACATCACTGTCAGTCCGCGACGCGACCGATCTCATCAACTACGTGAATGTGAATGCGGGGCTCACCGACAGCATTGTGTGTCTGTGCGTCAAGCATGGCATCAAAATCCCACAGGAGGCCATGCACCTCCTGGCCCTGAATCACGGCGCCCTCATCAAGTGCAAGTTCAACCTAGGCCCGCTGCTGGCGCTCTGTTCGTCACACGGCGCACACAGATTCAGCAACCTGGCCAAAACCAGCAAGACCATCAGGACCAAGCAATTCAAGCTCTCCACAGAATCCAATTTCAGTGGCCTCCATGAACTGGAGCATGAGCGGGTGCCACGGCGATGGTTTCTCTTGGCTGTGTCTCAAGATTGTGCTGCTGGCCCTGCCCACTGGATGCTTGTGGAAGCCAGATGTCATTGATCAGATCCTACGCAGGCAGCGTTGGTCGTCCAACAAACTCAACGCCAATGACAAGGTCATCAACACCACGACCACGTTCAAGGTGAGCGGCAGGGCCAACCAGATGGTCACCAGCGCCGTCGGCCGTTGGCCCATGCGCACCAATGACTACGTGGATCTGTGGGCTGAACAACAGCACATGTGCAGTGTCAAGCTGTGGCTGATTGCCATACCGATCACCAACAACGACATCATGGGGCGCACAAAGCGACGCTTCTATCCCAAAGCGGCCATGATCCTCCCAGTTGTTGAACTGGGTAAGGTTGACGCTGCTGCCAGTGAAGTCAGCCAAGAGTGAGACCAATGAGAAGAACGGCGTGGGCGCCTTGCGCACGATGCTCAAGTCTATGCTCAGTGGTATGGGTGCATTGGTGGTGTGCACTGGACATGAGCAGTTGGGTGATGGCTGATGGCAGAGCAAACTGGCTGTTGGATGTTGCTATGGCGCCATTGCCCAATGTGATGTGATCCATGGCGGTGGCCAAGTTGGTGTTGGCGCCATCGCCCATGCACATGCTGCGTGATCTGGTGGTGATGGTGAGGCTGGAGTTGGCGCCCACCGCCGTGTTGTTTGTGCCTGTCATGGTGTTCCAGAGGCTCCAGAAGCCAGTGGCGGTGTTGGTGCCACTGAGGCAGTTCTTGAGCGCGCCTGTGCCGACGGCGGTGCTGTTGACTGTGCTGGTGGCCGCTGTGAGCGCCTGGTATCCAATGGCTGTGTTGCTGTTGGAAGATATGATGTTGGCAAGTGTCTGGTGGCCCACGCCCATGTTAAACTGAGCAGTTGTGCTCTTGGCAAGCGCATTGTAGCCAATGGCGACAGCCAACGAACCAGTGTGGAGTGTGAGTGCGTTCAATCCAACAGCAATGCTGGTGCTGCCCATAGTGATTGATGCAAGAGCCAGAGAGCCAATGGCAACATTGTCAGTTGCGGTCATCAAGGCAGCCAACAGACCCATGCCCACTACAACATTGCGTAGTCCCATGGCAGTCACATTGAAGGCACCACTTCCCAGAGCTGTGTTGGAGGCCAAGGTGACACCAGTCACACCGCCAATCACAGACATGCTCACGTCCAGGAGGTTCACCAGCAACACCTTGTCTGCCCCATCAAGTCCCACATAGCCACCAGCCACATTCTTGTTGGAGGGATCTTCTTTGGCTGCAATGGATGCTGTAATGGCTGCCAGTGTCATGTTGCTCACACCACCTGCCTTGTGGATGTAGCCAGAGGCATCCATGGCAAGCAGCATGCCCACACCATTGGCAGCTGTCACAAGACTGTCTGCCTTGGCGTGTGTGACTGTGGTTGGGATTGCAAGCTGGCTGTTGGCATCCACCATGGTGCCACTGCCAAGTGTGATTGAGTTGGATATGTCATCTGCAATGCTTGTGTTGGCATTGTAGCCCAGGAAGGTGTTGTTGTTGCCTGTCATCAGGTTGTTACTGGCTGTGGCACTGACTGCTGTGTTGTTGAATCCAGCAGTGAGTGTGAGGAGGGTGGCATTGCCAATGGTGGTGTTTATCCCCAGGGTGACGTTGTTGGTCTGGAAGTCCCACAGCACTTTCGTTCTGATGGTGGTGCAGTACGTTATGCTGTCGTCAAAAATGTTCTTAGTGGCATCTGTACCCAGCACGGTCTGGCGCGCCCTTGTCGCTCCTATCAAAGTGCCAGGGAGTGTCAGTGTTGGTGCAGGAAGTTGCGCTGCAGGCACCTTGCTGGCGCTGTCGAGCGTTGCAAGGCCGCTGGCTTGGCCCTTGGAGGTGATGAAGGAATTGATCTGTGCGTGCGTGTTTGTGCCCTTGTTGGTCAGGTTGGCATGATCCACTTGCTTGTAGGCCAGGCCCATGGCGGCGGTCAGATCGGCCATTAGCACTTGCTTGTTGGTGCTGGGTGCCAGTGTGATGGGTGTGCTGCCGTTGCCAGTGGTCAAGATTCCCTTGGTGACAGGTGGTGCATAGGTGTTGCTGAGCTGCATGGCAGGCACCTGGCTGGCGCCATCGAGCGTCGCCAGACCACTGGTGGCACCCTTGGAGTTGACAAAGGTGTCAAAAGTGGCCACATTCATGGTTGTGCCACCAGCCTTACGCACGTTGCCAGAGGCATCCATAGTGAGCAATGTGCCCATGCCATCCATGGCCATCCCAAGTCCTGTGGCCTTGATGTGTGTGATTGCAGGTGTGATTGCCATTTGGCCATCAGTGGTGGCCGATGCATTGTATCCAAGCGCAATGTGGTTGTTGGCTGTTGCCAAGTTGACGTTGGCGCCATTGCCCATGCATGTATTGCACAATCTGGTAGTGATGGTAAGGCCAGTGTTGACGCCAATCACTGTGTTGTTTGTACCCATTGTGGCATTGAAGAGGCTCTGGCACCTGATTGTGGTGTTGATGCTGCTGAGGGACTTCTCTAGTGCGCCTGCGCCAATGGCTGTGCAGTTGACTGTGCTTGTCGCTGCTGTCAGGGCCTGGTAGCCAATCGCCATGTTGCTGCTGGTGGTGGCAATGTTGGTGAGCGCCTGATGACCCACTCCTGTGTTATACTGGCCTGTAGTGTTCTTCATGAGTGTGTTGTGACCCACAGCCACCACTGGCATGCCCATGTGGACCATGAGTGCATTGGATCCAATGGCAATGTTGGTGCTGTTTGTGGTGGCGGCAGTGAGAGCTGTTGAACTGATCACAACGTTGTTGGATGTGGTGGTGGATGAAGCAAGTGCACCAGGCAAGATTGTGATGTTGCATGTGCCAGTGGCTGCCACGTTGAAGGCACTGTTGCCCAATGCTGTGGTTGTGGATGATGTGATGCCAGTGATGCTGCTGATTGCAGATGGGGTTGCACTTGGGATGTTTGTTGGTGGCACCTTGCTTGTGCCATCAAGCAGTGTGAGTCCACTGGCCTGACCCTTGGAGACAACAAAAGTGTTGATCTGTGCATGTGTGTTGGTGCCCTGGTTCAAGAGCTTGCTGTGGTCCACTTGCCACACCAAGTAGGACAGTGGCAACGAAGTGTCAAAGGCCAAAAAGGAGCCCACAGGGTGGGCTGTCACCACCACAAACAAGCAAGTGTCCATTGAGCTCATCTTTGGTATTCATTAACTAGAATTGCATGCCAGCAACACAACCTCAGAAAAGAAATGTATTGGCCTATGCTGCGACCCTTTTCATGGCATATCACTTGATTGTTGTGATGAGCTTGTTGTAGTTGGCTTTGTGTATGAACTTTGTTCTTCATCTCCTTGACCATCCTGCAGAAGAAGTGCTTGTTTCGCCCTCCTCCCTGGTCATCTCCAGGATGTTGACAGATTGTCCCAAAGCCAGCTTTTGTTCTCAAGACCGCAGCAGGGCAGTCATGGCTGTCATGCAATGAAAGCACGCCTTCCTTGCCACTTCCTCCCATCCATTAGCCTCATGCTTGGCTAGTTAAATTAGCCTAAGCAACAAAAATCACACCAACCCTCATTTTGTGGGGTGTCAATATGGGCTGGTTTCTTCAGCCTTGGCACCACAACTTGCAACACAGACAAACAGAAGAGCAGCCATGACACAAAACAATGCCCATCTTGGCCCTTCATGCCTCCTCAGTTGTCACCATCCTGCTCTTGTTGTTCCTCCTTGCTCCTCCCCATGCAACAGAGGCCCAGTGGACCACCATGTCTCCCTGGCATGCTCCTCCCTGGCAGCCACTTCCATCAGCAACCTGGCCCTCTTCACTGGCAGCTCAGGTTCAGGGGGGTACTCCAGCATGGGACATCTACAATGCATCATCCAACAGGTGGACCACCACCACACTCTCCCAGGCCCATAAGGACCTGGTGGCCACTTCCATCAGTGACCTGGGGTTCTTTGCTGGTGGTGACGCTTTGGAGGGGCTCTTTGCTGTGGTGGACATCTTCAATGCATGGTCCAACAACTGGACCACCACCACGCTCTCCCAGGCCTGTACCCAACTGGCAGCCACTTCCATCAACAACCTGGCCCTCTTCACTGGTGGCTCAAATTCAGGGGGTACTCCAGTGTGGTGGACATCTACAATGCATCATCCAACAACTGGACCACCATGCTCTCCCAGGGCCATCACAAACTGGCAGCCACTTCCATCAGCAACCTGGCCCTCTTCACTCATGGTGACACTTCAGGGGCGCTCTTTGCCATGGTGGACATCTTCAATGCATCATCCAACAACTGGACCACCACCACGCTCTCCCAGGCCCATTCCCAACTGGCGGCCACTTCCATCAGCAACCTGGCCCTCTTTGCTGGTGGCTTCTCTTCAGGGGGGGAACTCCAGTGTGGTGGACATCTACAATGCATCATCCAACAGGTGGACCACCACCACACTCTCCAAGGCCCATTTTGGCCTGGTGGCCACTTCCATCAGCAACCTGGCCCTCTTCGCTGGTGGCACCACTCTTTCTGGGGGGGTTGTTGGGAACGTGGTGGACATTTATGACTTGCCCACCCCATCCATCACTTCCACACTGTCAAGCACGCCCTCTTTCACAAACACCCCATCAAGCATGCTGTCAGTGACGCCATCAAGCATGCCCCCTTCCACACCATCTTCATGGCCAAGGCCAATGGGTGACAACCACATTGTGGAAATCGCAGTGGGCGTGGCTGTACCAGTGGCCACCATCCTCCTCTTGGCCTATGTTGGATTCATGGTTGTGGTGGTGGTGCTTGTGAGACTTCAACGCCAATAAAAAATATCCCCAACCTCAGTGTTCATTAACGTCCTGTTCTTTCTATGTTTGTCCCTGGCAACAACCATCATGGTGGTGACACGTCATGGTGCTTGTTGGTTGCCAAACACCAGTGGCAGGATTTCATGATCCAGATGCAGCATTGCTCAACTTTGTGTGCAACAGGTACCAGAGAGGTCTCAGGGGCTCTGCTGATCCTGGTGTGCTGGCGCTTGTTGGTGTTGGTGGTCATCTGCATGGTGCTGGTGCTGGTGTTTAATGAAGAATATATATGGCGCCATGTCCTGCCTTACATGATGTGCCATGTTTTCAGGTGGTCCATCCCTGCACTTGCACATCAACAGTGTCATCCAGGTAGGGGCTCCCAGTGAGTGAAAACTTGCCATTGTGCACATTGAGGATGGTGAACTGGTTGCTGCTGAAGATGCTGTTGCTGTAGTAGCCTGAGGTCTTGACAAATGTCAACCAGCCAAGGATGGGTGCGCCATTGCACAAAATGGTGTTCTGGTCCAAATAGCTGGTTGAGTTCTTGGGGATGCACTACTGGGTCAATGATCCACTTCCATAGGGGTTGAGCGTGGTGGGCGTGGTGGGGCTGAGGGCCTCGTTGCTGGGGGTGATGGTGGGGCCAGTGAGGGTCCACGAGGTGAGGTCTGAGTTGCTGATGTTGCAGTTGAGGGGGCTGGCAGTCACTGATATGTTGCAGATGCAGTTGGCCAGGGGCGAGCTGGCCATGTGGAAGGTGAACATGGTGGTGCCAAAGTAGAGTGGTGAGCCCTGGCTGGTGGCAAGGGTGGCAAGCATGGCCAGCAAGAGCAGAACAGTGAGGGTGTGCATGTCTCTTGGTGGTGGTGAGGTGTGGAGAGTGACATGAGGCACATACTTGGACTATTTATGGTGCTGAATGGAGTCTGTGATTGGCCATGCAATCAAACTGGTGTCCATGTGAGCTCACATTGGCCACATTGGACCTTATAGAGGCAACCATGGTTGTTGCCATAGTACCACTGACACCATGCAGAGCAACCCATGTAAATGCATTCTGGGCAGTATTGTCACTGTGTGATCTGTAACCAACAGACTTGTTGAGTATGACTTAATAGGCAAACTGCCCAGATTTGTTGATGGTGGGAAACTGACAGCCAGTGAGTGTCTGATTGTGTTTGAAACGACCTGTGATCATGATGACAGGGTGAATGAGATCTGACTGGCCATTGTGCAGCTGGGATGTTTGAGTGAGTACGTGCCTGCGCCAATCAAATACCTTGATGGTTGGGACTATCTGGATGGTGTTTGGCCTGTGTGTGTTGAAGAGAGTTGCAACTTGCATGTCTATGTGACCTGTATCATCTTGCTGAATGATTAAGGAAAAGCACATTGGATCTGCGCCATTGCTTAATGTTTATTCTCAATTTGAGGGACCAAATGAAGCTGTGATCATGTAATAGTAGACACCAGTGCACTGATCACCACATTTCACACAGATCTTGTTTTTCTCCCCACATGCTTTGCAAAGAGCGCAGTCTGGCGTGGCAGATTCATGTCCATCCATACCCAACCTACATGGCCTTGGCTTTGGCTTATGAGGTTCGCCAATGGGGAAAGTCAGCCAGATTCATCCCTTGCACATGGTGCACTTGAGGTGTTCCAGATCCTCAAATGGGATGAACTGACAATCCTTTTCAATCTTTATGACTTGTGGTGTTGTGATGATCTGAAACCATTCCATAGTTTGCACTGCCAGAAAGTGTTGCCAAAAAAAGCAAAGACATTGTTGCTGTACTAATTTTACACATTGAGTATGGCATTGCCACAAGCGCTGATGATGTCCACCAGTTGCTTGCACACACTCTCCATGGAGGGCCTCTTGGCTGGCTTGGTGTGCCAACATCACTTGATGAGTCAGTGCAGTGCTTCAGGACAATCCAATGTGATGTGTGGGCGCTTGCCTTCAATGATGGACATGACCATGCACATGAATGGCTCATTGGCATATGGCACCTTGCACATGAGAATCTCCCACAGGATGACACCAAACAAATAGACATTGGCCTGCGTGCTGTAGTCAAGGCCCTGGATCACCTCAGGCGCGCTCCACACAGGCATGCCACAGTTGGTCATGGTGGCATTGTTCTCCTTGATACACACAAAGCCAAAGTCAGCCACCTTGACAGTGAGGCAGTCATCCACAAGCAGGTTCAACAACTTGAGATCATGGTGGAGCAGCAGCAGATCAAGCAAGTGGAGGTAGCACACACCATGTGCAGCGCCATAGGCCATGTGCATGCACTGGGTGAACATGAGTGGGTACTCAGAGGTGTTGGCAAGCACACCAGCGAGGCTGCCGCAGGGCACAAACTCAGTGATGAGCAAGAGGTGCTTGTCACTGATGGTGGCGCTGATGAAGAGCAGGATGTTGGGATGTGAGAGCTCAGTGAGAGTGGCCACCTCAACTTGGAATTGGAGTGCCTGCTCCTCAGTCATTTTCAACCAGTTGAAGATCTTGACAGCAACCAGCATCAACTTGCTCCACAGGCCCCTGTAGACAACAGCACTCGTCCCACATCCAATCATCTTGCTGGTCTCAATCTCATGCAGGTCAATAAACCACCAGCACTTGTTGGCCAACACCAGCAGGCTCATGTCCTCAGCAGGAAGCTGGAGCACGTCACAGTCATTGTCACCATCTTCATTGAACCACACATGATTCTTGGTGCACATCTCAAGCAAGTTCACAATCAGCTGGTAGGCGATCCCCTCAGGCGCTGCTTGCTCAAGATCAATGTTGCCCATGTGTTGGATCCAAAGGGGATGCATCCGCCCAATCTCATCAGGCAGGTCAGCAAGCTCAGCCTTGACGTCAGGCAACACAAGCACCTGACCGCCTGACAACATGTGCACGATGGCCATGGCTCCCTTCACCGCCAGACCAACATACTCAACACAGCACATCTTGGGGTCCATGATGCAACACACCAGGCCAACATGCACACCCATGTGCACATGCAGTCCACAGTAGACAAAGTGTTCATTGGACAAGTTGCCATACTTGGTGTGTGCGCCATTGATGCACAGCAACCTGGCGGGCCAGTCAGTGACAACAAGGGCATGCTGTGCACTGGAGCACCAGGCCACAGCATCAATCACCTGGTGGAAGGCAATGCAGAAGGTGCCAGTGCCCATGCTCACCTTGAGGCCAGACATGTGCACCTCATAGCCATTGTGGGTCGTCATGAGATTGTGCATGAGCACATTGTGGATCATGGTGGCTTTGCATGCCACTGAGTGGTTGAGCTCCCACAGCCAATTGGCTCCAGAGATGTTGCTGATAACAACATAGACATCACTGTCATGCAGTGGCAGTTGGGCCATGCCATACCCATGGGCAGTCAGCCAGACATTGCTGTAGATGGATCACATGGACAATGCATTGGATCTGGACAACAATCCACGTGTCATGCTGCCAGAGTTGTCGCCCAAGTCATTGATGCGCTTCTCAGGGGTACACACACCTGCAACAATGTTGAGGGCGTTGATGATCTCCAGCAGCGTCAGTCATTCAATGACGTCCTGGGCCCAACAGCAACACATGAGATCTTGCATCTCAGCAATCTCCTTCTCATAAACAAGGTCCTGGGCGTTGATATACAGCGAGGGCACCATGTTGTTGTCGAACACAGGTCACTTCTGGTCACAGATGACAGCAACCACAATCACAGCTGGTGACATCCCATTGTACAGCTTCTCACACATGATGATCTCCCACAAGATGATACCAAACAAGTAGATGTCAGCCAGCACACCATCAGCCATGGTTGAATCACTGAGGATCTCAGGCGCCGCCCAGGGGATGCTGAGGCCCACCTGTTCATTCCCCACAGCGCATCACGCCGTGCTGAGACCAAAGTCAGCAACCTTGGCATTCCACTTGGAGTCAATGAGCACTTTGGGCGACTTGAGATCGCGGTGGACGATGCCCTGCGAGTGGATGTAGTGCATGCCCTTGGTGATCCCAAGCGCAAGCTTGACACAAAGCGCCAGCAGCAGGTACTCCATGAGCTCATTCTCAAGGAGATCAAAGAGCAAGCCCAGCTCCATGTGCTCCATGATGATGCACAGATCTGGAGGCTTGGTGCACGTGGCGTAGAACACAATCACATTTGGATGGCGCATGGAGTTCATGATGTCAACCTCTCCACGCAGTTTCTGCAGCTTGTTGTGGGAGAAATGGGTGCAGTGGGCGGTGAATGTCTTGATGGTGACTTTGGTGCTGCGCCACTTGGCCTTGTGGATGTAGCCATTGCTGCCAGTGCTGATCAGATCGCCAAACTTGATGTTGGATATCAATGGGTCCCATGTGGGTCGCTCACGCTTGCGCTGCACGATGCCCATGCTGAGTGCAGCCAGAACACAGACTAACATGAAGAGTAGGAGCAAGACGATGCCAACGCCGATGCCGATGCTGAGCCTGAGCCTGAGACGCAGCTCTGAATCGCTGTTGGTGCTCGCGGCGGCGCTGGTGGGCTTGACCGCCAACGCGCACTGGACGCCCTCCCATCCCGACTGGCAGTTGCACGTTGCGTTCCCAATGGTGTAGCGCGCTGAAGGCACGACGCACGTGCCATGGTTGGAACACATGGTGCCCACGTCATCCATGCACTCGGATCGCGCAAAGGCCGTCTTGGTCGGTCCGCCGCACGTGACGCGATGAAACGAAAGCGCGAGACTGGTGGCGAGATCGTGCGAGACCTGGCTGGCGGGCATGACGCCTTCGCTGTCAGAGAGCTGTGCGGTGACGTCAAGCGTGTTGGTCTGCGTCCAATAGACCCACTTGAGGAAGGTGGCCAGATTGGGGCATCCGTAATCGCGCGACGGCGGCACGTAGATGTGGCTCCAGTAGACAATCAGCCATCCAGTGGTGGCACGTTTGGCCAGATCCAAGCGCGCCATCTCAACAATCGACAATCTCGTGGCCAAGATCCGAACGCCGCCCTGGATGAGGTCGCCGATCAGCAGCGTCCGCGATTCCGCCACGATGCTCATGGCGTCAAACCCGATCCCGTATGGCGTGGCCGCAAGGGTGCGCACAACGCCCAGGGCTCGCGGGCAGTGCCGAAAAGCGGAGGCCGTTCTCAGAAACCACACCCACGCGCCAAGTGCAGCTTATCGTAAGCAACCTAATCCCTACCATTGACCAAGACAGAGCAGGCGGGGAGCCGACCAGCTACGTGAAGAAGTTGGCGCTGAGATCGCCTTCAAGGCGAGCAAACGACGTGAGAACCGTTCAGGTTACATTCATTCCCTCACTCGTCCCAGCACTGGGTCGGCAGCAGCTCTACGAAGTCGTCCTTGGAGAAGAGTGACACGGAGAAGTAGTAGGAGTCGCCCGCTAGGGGCATCGCCAGGCCGGCCTTGCCGTTGACCGAGAAGGTAACTGTGCCACGCTGCTGCTCCTCCGGGTCCAGTACCTCGTGGGGCAGCGAGCTGTCGAGCGCCGCCGTGGCCGCCGAGGGCGACAGATCGAGCAGCACACCGACCTGGTCCCCCGCGCCGAAGGCGCCCAGGCCAGTCGGGTGCACGATGCGGTTGAAGTAGTACCACTTGCTCGCCGCCTCGACGCCCTTGGCCCGCCTGGTGTCTGAGCGCGGCAGGAAGTAGGCCGGCGACTTAGCGTTGCCCTCCACCACGGCCTTTGGCTGGACCGCGATGTGGACCATCATGTTGGAGCCGCGCGCGCTCGCCAGCTTGAACTCCCGGTAGTGCTTGCCCGCGGCGTAGCTCTGGCTGGAGAGAATGGTGGACCAGACGTTCCCCTGCTGGCGTTCGGTGCGCGCCTTGGTCACCACCAGCCCTTTGGGCGTGACGTCGAGGTCGATGTGGCGGTGGTTGGGGTGGGTGCTGAACGTGTGGTGGGGGTCTATGGCAGCAGCCGCGGGGGAGTTCTTCTGCTGGGCAGCGGCTTGCCTGAGTTGAGCGTTCTCGGCCTTGACCTCAGCCAGCTCGAGTCGCAGTCGCGCCAGCTCGGCCTGAAGTTGAAGTGTGGCAATCTGCTCAGTTGTGTTGTCGGACATGCTGTTGGTGTAGTTGTTGAGCGAAGAAGGGCGCAAAGAGATTCCTTTACCTTTGGTTCCTTTTTTTCTTCGTCCCCGACACATAAGTGGAAGGGGACCACGTGAAAAAAACCCCACTGGTTCAACACAGCCCGGAAATATGCGATTGGCCATTTTTTGCCGGCGATGGGGCCTTTTCTTGCGCTTCCCCGCAGCAAATGCCCACAACCTGCAAGCAAGCGTGGGAGGAAGCGAAGGAGTTTCGGCAAGAAAGAAAGAAGTAAGCAACAGCGCCCTCTTTCAGAGGAACCCCGCGTTGGTGTGGTGTGCAGGTGGGGGTGTGACCAGCATCACACAGCACCCGTTCTTTCATTTTTCGGAAGTGTGTCCACAAAAAAGAGACGGGGCGTCTCGTGTTGTCGGGAAAAGCCACTGTTAGAGTTCCCTGTCATACTTGCCATTATGTTCATTCATCCTGTGAGCGTAAACACCATGATGACCCTCGGGACAGCAACAACGGCATTTTTCTTCTTGTGCTGCTTCTGCACCAGCACAGTTGGCGTCTTCCTTCCGACCGGCTCGCCTTCCGCCAATGTCAACGCGGTGTGGTCCAATCTCAACATCACCCAGCTCTACCCCACCACCGGTAAACATCCTTCTCCGCCCCAGCCGTGGTTCGGAGTTGAAACAAAATCAACATCTAAAGTCTTGCCATCATCGCCTGTTTGCAGCTGTGGCTGGTGATGTCCTGTTCGAGTCCAATCATGGGATGGGGCACGCGGAGGGTGTGTCGCCCGCCGTGGACCTCCCCTCTCAATGGCTCTTCATGCCCGGCTTTTTGTGTTTGAGATGATGGTGCTCTCTTTGCTCCATCAGCAGGGAGTGATCGGATGGTACACAGTACTCGATCTTGCACTGGGAGTCGCGCAATATCCAACAGCGGTCAACGAGACGCCCGCGGTGCATGCAGTCTAGCCCTAAGCCGTCGTAGTACCTGAGCTTGACGGTGAACACGGATCTGGGGCCTCGGATTCGGTCCAGATGGGGAGCGCAGTGTCTCCTTGGTGCATCTGCGAAACTTTACGCTGACGCACGCCACGTTTTCAAATCCTTGGGATGGATGAAGCCCAGGATCAGGCACATGAGCTCGTTGTCGATTTCTGAGAGGAACATTGCGTTTGTGCGGGCTTCGTTTCGATAGTTTGTTTTTATGCGTTCTTTACAAAGGGACCAACAGACCGGATTCGATACACGCCCTGAATACGATTGCCTGTAGTCTTACGATCTCAGCGACGGATCCGTCGCGTTCTGTGATCATCGGGCACTCCACCCGTCGATGATCGGGAAGGCGCATGGTGGTCAAACAGGGATCCGATCGTATTATCAGCGATCCCGGCTGCAGGATCTCGCATACATGCCCGTTGGAATGGATCGCGGCCCACGCTCCCCCATTCTTCACCCAGCGCACGCGATAGTGCCCGTTATCGTTGGTGATGTCGGCGTTGATTTCCGACACCTCGTATTTGATGGTGCATCTGATTGCGCCGTGGCACTCTTTCCTCATCCAGATTGAGATCGGCGCTCGAAACGATCGCCAGTTCCTGACGTTTTCGGTGAGATCGTAGCCGTAGCCATCGTGGAATCCGATCGCGGCGTTATCGCGTTCGGGGGATGCGATCCGTTTGAATGCCCGCATCCGGATCGTTGTCTTGGCGCACTCGAGGATTCTGCGGCTCGCGCATGCCGCAGTCCTCAATTCTACCGGGTGGATGAAGCGCAGGATCAAGCAAACCAGCTCGTCGTCGATCTCTTCAGCTATTTATGGGGGGCGACCAACAAACCAGAACCAACACAATCTCCGAACACAACGGCCTGCAGCCCTGTGATCGAGCACACGAGCTTATTGTCGATGCTGGAAAGGGGCATTTATGTCATCAGAAGGCCCGTCTTTAATCAATCAAGCGTGGTATAATGCGACGGGTCCTTGCACTGCCTTCCCCAGCGCACTTTAAATCAGCGCAATAACCGTTCTTGAGCAGGAGCGCCTCGCGCCTCCGAGCGTGTGCTTTCTTGGCAGCCTCGCTCCTCTTGGCGTCGATTACCTTGGCATCCTTTGCGCGCTTCTTCGCCCGATACTCTTCGATGATTGAATCGATTCCAATCTGGAGGGACTCCCTGATTTTCTCGACCTCGGCCTCCGATCCGGCCCGAACGATCCACGCCGGGTGATGGGGATTCCACTTGCCTCCAAACTCGTTCTTCACGCGCTCTTTGACCTCGTACAGGCTCCGCGCGGAGAAGGCCCATGCATCGTCCTCAAAGACGCTCATGCACCGACAGCTGGCGTAGCACAACTCGAGCGCCCTCCTCACTTTGATCTTGGTGTCCTCATCCGGCGCATAATTCCATCGCCTCTTCCGGTTGTTCATCTCAAGTTCAACCGGGCGGATGAACGTGAGGATCGAGCCCATTGTCGATGCATTTATGTCAGATGGCCATCCTGAATTTTATGGTCGGCTGCAGGGAATAGCCCGTCAAAACAAAGTCTTCGGTGTGCACGTCATCCAGCATGGGTTTCCTCCCGATGGTGAGTCGCGGCGGGTCGGATGGTGTGCGCGCGATCTGCTCCTTCATGCCATCAACGTGATTCTTGTAGATGCGCGCGTCGCCCATCGAGATCGTGAGCGATCCCGGATCCTTGTCTGTGATCCGCGCGATGAGCACAGCAGTGCGGCATAATCCGAACGCGACGTCCTGGAGACGGCCCGCCATCATTCCAAGCTGCACGATGACCACGACGCATTATTATTGTTTCAGCATAAAGGAGGCGACTCTTTTTTTTTAATGGGGGTCCACAATCACAGGTGGAGACGCAACCATCATCACGGGAGGAGAGCAGTTATGGTGCCGGAAATTATTAATCTATCCGGATAGGTTGGTCTTTCTATCCAAAACACAGCTGGCCTATCCACACGGGTTTTGGATAGATTTATCAGTGGGCAAGGCACAAAAAGAAGAAGGAAAGCTTGTTTATTGCAAAGCATCAAGTTCGTCGTTGTCAGGGAAGCGGCCATTCTTCTTCGGCTGGCGCTTCTGGTGCTGCGGTGGTGCATCCGATCTTCTGAGTCGACGTGGGTGGGGAGAAGGTGTGAAATACTCCTGTTCGGCACGTTGTGCGTCTCGACGTGCTCGACGTGCACATCGGGTTGGTGGCGAGTTGTTGGAGCTGTCGCCTGGCATGGTGGCCTTCCTGGCCTTGTTGTGTTCGGCACAAGCAACCTTGAGAGTGTCGTCGAGCTGGTTGTTGAAGAGCTGGCGCTTGCTCTGGCTGGCAACTGGGCGGGCGAGAGTCTTAGGCTTGCGACCGACGGAGGCAGGCCTCTTGAGGTAGGCCTCTTGCTGTTGCGCGATTTCGTCATCATAGACAGGCAGGGAGGGGCGCTTCGTTCTTTTCGCCAGGCGGCGAGGGGAGCACAATCGTTAATGCGCCCGCGATTGCCGTCCTCGTGCTCGCTGTCCTTGTGCTCGCCGCTGCTGTGCTTGCCGTCCTCGTGCTCGCTGCGCCCGTGATCGCCGTCCTCGTGCTCGCTGCCCCCGCGATTGCGGTTGCTGTCCTCGTGCTCGCTGCGCCCGCGATCGCCATCCTCGTGCTCGCCACTGCTGTGCTTGCCGTCCTTGTGCTCGGCGTCCTCGTGCTCGGCGTCCTCGTGCTCGGCGTCCTCGTGCTTGGCGTCCTCGTGCTCGGCGTCCTTGTGCTCGGAGTCCTTGTGCTCGGCGTCCTCGTGCTCGGCGTCCGCGTCCTCGGCGTCCTTGTGCTTGGCGTCCTTGTGCTTGGCGTCCTCGTGCTCGGCGTCCTCGTGCTCGGCGTCCTCGTGCTCGGCGTCCTCGTGCTCGGCGTCCTTGTGCTCGGCGTCCTTGTGCTCGGCGTCCTCGTGCTCGGCGTCCGCGTCCTCGGCGTCCTCGTGATTGTTGTCATCATATTCGCCGTCCATGTCAGTTCCTGTTGCTGTGTCGATCACCTCGTCGTTCGCTGCCGTAGGTTGTCCTGCGCCATGCACAATGCGGGCTGCAATTGCGTGCTTGCACATTTTTCCCGTTTTGAGGTGGTACATACAGCTGCAGGCCCAGGTTCCGACCTTGATCACGTAGTCACCGTATTCGTAGAGGTCGCCCGTGCTTGCAAGCTTCAGCTTCTCACGTTCCTCTTCGATGATCGTCTTGGCATCGTTGATTCTCCTGGCGAGGCGGGTGTGGGAGAGGGAGTCTTGGGCGGTGTGGATCCCTGCTTCTTGTTGAAGATACCGCGTGTCGTAGTGGCACAGCACCGATCGGAGGAGCTGGAGGGTTGTGCTGGGCGAACTGGAGCTTCGATGGTTACAGAAGGATGTTACCTTCTTGAACATGGACTCAACAACGTTGTTGGTGTTCCACATGCCCTCTCGCTCTCCTGGCCTGTCCTTGTCGACCCAGGCAGGTCGCCACTTGTCGCAGAACCAGTTGTTGTTGAAGTACTGATACAGCTTTGGACCAGCAAGTTGATGTAGCTCCTGGCAGTGCTGCTTGAACTCCTCATCGTTGTCAGCACGCTGAATGAACTTCAGCTGGACCAGCACTGCAGCAGCATTGACTTTGGATTTGCCTGTCATTTGTGGTGTGTTGGGGTGAGTTTTGATTGTGACCTCAGCAAAGCAGTAGGGAATGGTGTACCAATGTGCTTGTGAACCTCCTCTCTGAAAGTCTTCTGGACATGGAATTCACAGAGGAGATACTGGCAGCCCAGGGCAGCAACAGCTCCTTGCTCAATGTCATCCTTGTTGATCATGAAGACTGGGGTCCACCACTTCCCAAGCTTGGTTTCAATTTCATCACATAGAACCTGAAGTGTGAAGTGTAGAACCTTGGACCACTCAAGAGATGTGAAGACGAAGGCCACTGGCCAGCCATGGCCCTGGTTGTCCTCCACAACGACTGCCCAGATGGGCCACTGTTGCTTGCTGAGCTTGAAGATCCCATTGAGGCCAACAAGGTGTTGACTGAATTGGTGGACAAGCTCCATTGCTTGCTTGGGGATGAGGACACAGACAAACAGTTTTTGTGCAGCAATGGTGTCATGCACCCATGGGTCATGTGGGCCAGGGTAGAGGGTGATGCAGAGTACAGTTGATGTTCTCCATGATGGTCCCACCTTGCATCTGGGCTTTCTTCCTGCCATTGGCAAGAACAGCCTGGACTTGCTTGAGTGATGGGAGAGTGTCATGTGTGACCTCACCAGTCACTGGAGCCCACTCCTGTCAAAATCATGGTCATTAAAGCTGTATCAAGTTTAACTTGTGCAACAAACAGAGCACTGAACATACCTGAAGCTTGACCAACTCTCACATGGCAGTTGTGCATCCACCCATCCCACAGTCTAGACCATCAGCCTTGAGAATCTTGGTCTTGACCTGTTTTGTGGAATAAACCAGAAACAGGGAATAACTTGCATAATGACACAAGAAAAATCAACCTCTGAGGACTGTACCTGAGTGGGCTTGCATGGCGTGTAGGTCACCACATTGGAGGCCCATGTTGTGTTCTGTTGTGCAAATTACAATCAAGTATTAACAAAGGTTGTAGAATCTGAGGTGAGTGAACAGTTCTCACACCAGGCATCTCTGATGATGTGCTTTCAGGCCACAAGAGGAGTCTTTCTTTTGAATGCAGCATTTGAGCTCCTGCTTGATCAGGATGTTGATCCAGTTGACTGACAGCACCTCCTCCTGTTGATCTGATCCACAAGGGCTGGACACACCAGCACATCTACACCCTTGCCTCAGCACTCATCAACATGGCCATGTGGTCCATTGCCATCAAGCTCCTCAGCCATAGCGCCCACACCAATGTTGCATGGATGCTGGCGCTGCTCATGCTGATGGCCATCCTTGTGGTGGTGTTGGCCAAGATTGTGTTCAATGCTGACATCTTTGGTGACCAGTGAACACTGCGTTTTTTCATGTGCACTTAAGCAAACCACCATGTCCTCCCAGAATCAACACATCTACAAGGCAGTCAACACATGTGGTGCGCCCTTTGGCAAGGAGACCTATGGTACCATGGGTGCGCTGTTGGAGAGCATCCCCATCATGTCCCACACACCCTATGCACCCACACCCAATGCTGGCAAGCTGGTGTCACCCTACGCCCCACTGCTGGCTCCCACCCCATCTCCTCCCAAAAAGAGCCATGATCTTGAGAAGTGGCTCCTGGTGATTGGTGTGCTGCTCACCCTGGGCGCTGTGGGCTTCATCATTTACAGGCAGTGGTAAAAGAAGCCCTTTGTAATATATGTGTCTGCATGCAACATGGAAATTGGTGTCATCCCCATCATCATGCACCACAACACCAATGATCACCTGATCACATGGCTGTCTAATCCACTCTGGCCTCACACCATGCTGAGTTGCTGTTCTTGCCCATTGGACGCATGCCACTGCTCATGCCATGTGAATTCTGGAAGCATGCACATCATGGCATGCTGCAGGACCTGTCCCAAGTGTGGTGTCAACATCCACCTGGCCAAGTACAATGATCACATGAAATCATGTGACAATTATGATGATGATGACAATGATGAAGATGTGGAACACCGCTGCAAAAAGCTCTTTGGTCTGACCATGAAGCAACAGATGTGGCTGTTCATTGCACTCATCACAATAATGGTGGTGGTGGGACTCATGTGTTGAATGAATACATCTTGTCAATAGCTCATGTGCAACACCCAAGATGGCATCACACAAGCATCACTGTCATCTGATGATGAATCCTCATCAAAGTCCTCATTGCAGTCACTTCATTCATTGTGCACTTTGCACCACTGCTGCTTCCACTTTCGCCATTTCTTTTTTGAAATGTGTGTGTGTTTTGAGTAGGTGTTGTTGTCATCATGATCAGATCACTTGTCCTCAGATCCCATATCAGCAGATTGCTTGTGGCCAGTTTTGAGTTTTGGGATGGGTTTCATTGCACTGACCTGCCATACCTGGATGTGCTTGTTTGGATCCTGGCTTGCACAATCCATCTTGCCCATTGCATTGCAAAGCAGGATATTGTTGCGCTTGGCCTTGAGGAGGCTTGGGAAGAGCAGCTTGTGTAGCTCCATGGGCGTTGGGATGGAATTGCATGAGAGGTCAGCACAGTGGCATCAGTAGCTGGGCATGATGATCTTGTTGTGCTTATAGCACTTGGTCTTGATGGTGTTGAATACAACAAAGAACCAGATGGTGTTGGAACAGTGCTTGGCCTCCTTGTTGGGGCACCACCAGCAGTCAGTCTTGGTGATGTAGTAGCCCCCAGTGGCCTTGTACTCAACTGATGTCACACTCTTGCAGTCCATGTAGTGGTGTTTGGCGCACAGGGTCTCCATTAGCAGCCAGATGATGCAATTGCAATTGATTGTGAGAGGTTGTTGGCTGACCTTGTAGTTGGGATTGTGTGGTCTGACTCGCTCCCTCTTGCTGATTCCCTTTGTGATATGGCGCTCTTTGTGGATGTGCTGGCGCCTCAGCTCATCTTGAGAGAGGCCATCAATGAGATCCAATTCCTTGATCTTCTTGACCCAATCCAGCATCTTGGGTGGTTCCATGAGCACACCATTGGGCTGATGTAGAGTGCAGCAGTCAAACTGGGCATTGAGGTTGTGCTGCAGCATGTTGAGCTCCTGTGGTTGTGGGGCGCCTGATCCATTGATGATAGGCATGACCAATGTGCGTCTTGCTGACCTCAAGACATGTCATGCAGGGCAGGAGCTGATTGGGAGTGACACATTTGCACTTTGGATGCACATCAGTGGTACAACACAGCACCATCTCCTTGGGTTTGGTCTTGCCCTTGCTGCCACATGCATGGCACTTCTTGGCCTTGGCTGATGCAAACATGTGCAAGCTGTTGGGCTTGTAGACTGACTCATTGAGCACACTCACCCATTGATTGTAGGCTGGCCACTTGCCAAAGGCCTTGTGGAGGTGGTGGATGATGGTGCAGCAGATGGTGCATGCCACCTGCACATTGACCTTGACGCCTGGCCAGAAACCATGGAGGCTGAACTTGTACATTGGTGAACTGGGCTTGTTGAATGACATGGGTGACTGATAGATGATGAGCTGCAGTTTGTAGTCATCCAGCTGTGTGTAGAGCTTGTGCATGAGCTTCTGGATGATGGCGACGATGGTGTTGATATTGTCCTGTGACATCATGCATGGTGGAAATTGAGATTGAAGAAGAACAGAAAGTAGTTGGTGCGCTGCTTGATGAAGTAGGATGGTATGCTGTGGTGGGTGTTGGCGAGGTAGAGCCACTTGAACTTGTTGAGTTGATTGTCAGGCATGTAGAGCATGAACCTGCTGAAGCTGAGGTGGCTCTCAATTTCGTGGTTGTACTTGAGCTGGTTGTTGTTGTGCTTGTAGTGATAGAAGGTCTTGGCATTGTGTGGCTTGCGGCTGGTGGTGTGTTCATTCACACATGCTGTCTATGTGCTCATGAGTGCCATCCCCATGATAGCAAGAGCGCCTCCCAGGGCCACTCATGGGATGTTGCAACAGTGTTGGTCATGGTGGTATGTGTGAAAAAGTTTGCTACAGTGGCACACATATGGTTTCTCTGTATGCAATGCTGCCAGTGATGTTGGCCATGAATTGTTCAAGCACGGCCTCCATGACTGGTGTGTTCTTGGGGTCATTGTAGACATGCTTGGAGAGCTTGCTGGTGATGTATGTGTCAATGGCCTCCTTGTGTGCATTGCAAGGTCGTTGGGCTGTGATGAAGTGCAGTTGCAGTTTGCGTCAGGCAAGCAACAGGGCTGTTATCTGGAATGGGTTGTTGGCGCACATCATGTATTGGTGCTTGGAAAGTGTGGTGTGGCTGCTGTGTGTCATTGCAAGGTAAAGGTTGTATTGCCACTTGGTGTCTCATGTGGTGCTGTTGAGCAGCAAATCTGCAAACATCCAGTGGATGCTGATGCTGATGAACTCACCCATGTCACTCCATTGCTTCACCCAGGTGTGGCAAAACATGGATATGGCCATGGTGGTGTGATCCTCTTCAGTGGCCATGGTGTGTGTGTTATGTGTTGGTTGGATGGCTGATCCCAAGCAATACCAACATTTGTGTGTGCCCAGTGGTTGTCATGGGTGACCATTGGTGTGTCCAAAATAAAATTTGTCACTGTGTGCATCAACATGGATACTGTGAGATTTACAATCAGCTGGATAGTGGACAACACCATCCAAGAGCCACTGCACACACTCTACATGGGTGGCCCATTGCTGGGAGGGTACAGATTCTGGGAATTGCTGCCTGACAAGGAGATCTGCGCCATGATGATGGGTGTTGAGGCGTCCTTCTGGTGCAGATTGGAGGCATCAATCGCCATGTGCAACCAGCAGATCAAGTGCAAGGTGGACACATTCATCATTGGCATCATCAGATCTGTCATTGGGGCCCTGCTTGTGCTGACTGTGGCAAAGCATGGCATGCAGGTGTGTACTGGTGCATCTGATTGTGAACACCATTGAGAAGAGGAGGTACGCCCACCGCCCCATCCATGATGACTAATGACCATGATTTGAGAAACAGAACATGGTGGTGTAGCCAACGCCAGCACTTGGATCATATGGCTGGATGGTGAACTTGTAGTCACCCTTGAAGAGCCAGTATGGCATGTTGATCTGATGCATGCTGGTGACAATCTGGTTGTACAGGCTCGAGTAGTGGCCTGGGATGGGACCAACAAGATTGTACTTGAACCCAGATCTGGTCACCATGGCGTTTCTGTTAATGCTGACAGGTGCATTCCACTTGATCATCCAGTTGCACCCACTCACCAGTGACTGGGCATCAGCCACCTGGCCCATGTTGGGGTTGAATGTGCTTGCGGTGTTGGCCTCCAGGATGGAGACATGGGGCAGCTGCAGCAACTTGTTCTGGGTCTTGTAGAAGTTGCAGTGATGGGGACATTTGTTGGATTCCATTATGGGTGTACATCATGGCCCATGAGAAAAAATGTGTCTGCCCATCACAAAATCTGAACACAACAGCACCAATGGAAACACCATTCTCTCATTTTCACGTCCATCAGACCATGAAGCCCACTCACCTGGCTGGGATCCACATCATCACATGTGTGGACAAGGACAGCGTTGCACAAGTTTGTGGATACAAACTGCATCACAAATTCAAGGATGCGCAGATGGTGTCATTGATGTATTGGATTGCCAGTGAGTGCTCAGTCATCATTGGCCCCCACACCAGCTGCAGGTTTGCCTGCCATGCCCTCAGCAAACAACTCATTGCCCTCACCCACAATGGCCAGCTGCCTTGTCACATGAATCACAAAACCACCCTCACAGCGACCTCAATTGAACACACTCTCTCACAATGTCCATGAGCCAACAAGGTTGTCATCATTGGAGGAATTGGGACATTTGCATCATTCATCCCATTGGCCAATTGGATCATGATCCTGAAATGGAGTCCATTGTGGATGAAAGTCAGATCCCAACCAAACTGCCCAAGTGGGACTTGCTCTACACACCTGGTGTGACCAACTGATGGCGCCATTGTGATGATGGCAGCATCATGCACATCAAAATTGTCAAGGCAGCACATCGCCATGAGCTCTTCCTGCTGTCCCCCTCACATCCAAACTAACACCCACATCACATGTCCAGATCCATCATTTGAGCACACACCAAAGACCAAACCCAAACCAACAAACCACAAGTTTGTGCAGTTTCAGCAACCACTCCTGGGCACAAATGTGACCAATGAAGAGCTCTTGGAGTGTGCCATCACCAAGATCAAAACTGCAGAACTGCAACAAGCCATCTGTCTCAACAACATCAAGAAACAGCCAATAGGGTCAGATGACAACTACAACAGCTTCCTCAAGAGTGACTACAACAATGATGATTTCAGTGATGAAAGCAATGATTACAATCTCATCTTCAAGTGCAACAATGACAACAACTTTGATGAATAAAAATTTGTATTATCTCAGGATCCTGCCACACAACATGAATCAGGTGATCTACAGAGGTGAAAGCCACACACTCAATCATCACAAGAGGAAGATCCACAATCTGGTGCTCAAGCACACCAGAGTGTGGGCTGAACCATGCTGCAAATCCTTCACCTGGATCCTCCACCTGAAGATCCTGTTTGCCTATCCAATGACCAAGCTCTGCTGGGGCGATGGCCAACTTTGACACCTTTGTCCAATACTTTACCAACACCACAGTGACAATCCTGCAGGATGGCATCATCATCAACTGGAAAACAGGCCACATCAGTGTGCACTGGAAGTTCTCAACATACTTGAGCAAGACCAGTGTGCACCAGGTGGTCAACAACGCCTACCTGGGGATCATGTGTGATGGCAAGTTTGTCCAGTGGATGGAGTTTCTCAATGGTCGTGTCAAGATGATGCAAGCTGCCAGGGTGCTCTCCTACAGCAATGGCCCCAATGGCATCATGAAGCCCTGGCCAGCTTTCATTCCTGGCAAGGAATCGTGCCACGCCATTGTCACAGTGTTGTGTCCATTGCAGTGATCTTTGTTACTCAAACAAAAAGCCCACATATTTGAGCATGTACAGATTCATCTTGATCACCATGGGTTCTGCTGAATTGTTGGTGTGTCCAGTTCTGATGTGCAGGATGAAGTTGCCACCACTGGACCCAATCATGGTCACATGATCTGCTTTGCACATGAAGGGTCTGAATTCACACAGCCCAACCTTGAGGTTGACCTTGGCCTTCAAGTCACCAAACTTGTGGTGGGTGTTGTGGTACATGTCAGTGTGATCCCATTTGGTGATGCACTCACCATCCTCACTGAGCATGTGTGCCTCTTGTATTGCCCAGATCAATGAAGGAGCAGGACAGTGCAAACCCAACACATCCCACCACACCCAGCAGTTCAAAGGAGAAACTGTTGGATCCAACCTCAATTGAGGATCCAATCAGCACTCTCTGGATGTGCAGCAGGATGATGTTGTCAACAGCCCACTCAGACTCAATTGTGCTGCACACCAGCATGCATGTGAACTCCACCTTGACTGACTCAACGGCAGGCTCATCAGTGAAGGTGAGACAGATTGAGTAGTGCTCAGGGTCGCCCTTCAGGATGCCCAAAACACTGTGTCTGGAAAAAGGTGCCAGTGGCACCTTTTGTTAAGTAAAATCTGTACAAGTGATATATGTGTATGTGCAGCGAAAGCAGTACTTTTGTGAACATGGTGTGTGAGTGGTTTTGGCAAATTATGTACAGAGAGTGGCAAAACAGGGAAAAATGGTGTAGGTCATGGTAAAAGCAGATGGGGCCAATGAAGAATTTCAAGGCATAAGTGTAAAAAAGGGCAAATGTATTTTGTTGGAATGAGGAACAGAACAGAGTGGAGGGAAACATTAGCCAATGGACTTCTGCACTTTCCATGGACCAGAAGAGGAGGAGGAGCTGGTCTTGGGTGTGAGAGGGGCAAGGGCAGGATGTGAAGTTAGGCCTTGTAGGAAGGAAGTGATGGCTGTGAGATCTGACTCCTCCAGGAATTTAGAGTGGAAGGTGAGGAGCCAGTTGCCAAGAGAGGAGATGTTGCCCTCTGCTATGGGGGTAGAGGAGAGGCAGACAAAGCTGGAGTAAAGGGCAGCACAGAAGGAGAGGTAGTAGGTGGGATTTGCCTCATAGAGAATGTGGTAGGGGGTGGTGGGCGATGTGATGGGGTGGGGAGAAGGATTGGGAAGCTCTAAGCTCTGGATGAGGAAGCTGTAGAGGCCAATGTGAAGCGGGGTGCGGTCCAATGATTGAGCAGTGAGGAAAGCAGGAGCAGAGCGGACAACCTCACACGTTGGGTGTGGGATGGGGATGTGGTGCAGATAGCAGAAGGGTTCAGGGATGGTGTCGCTGGCCAGAGGATGCCAGATGGCAGACATGTTAACCCTCTTGTGGCTGAAGATGAGAACATCAAAGCCACTGATGAGAGGTTCAGAGGTGGGCATGGAGCTGGAGTAAGTTGGGGAGCTGTAGTAGAAGTGGAGTAGGTGGAAGACCTGGAGGGTGGAGTGTGACTTGAGTGAGGTGATGGCGTTGGCGATGTTGGAGGGAGATGAGGAGATGTAGAATCCAATGCTGTAAGACTTCAATAGGTGAGTTGCTGCATTGTTGATGTTGAGAGGAATGTCTGCACTGTGGATGGTAAAGTTGTGCATGTAGATCAACACCTGTGGAAGAAAAAAACTGGTGGACAACAGGAATAAGTGAAAAACCAATGTGCATTGGGAAAAGTGTCGACAAATAAAAAACCAATGCGCATCAGGAAAGCAATGCAGGCCAATAAACGCACTGGCCATTCATGGAATTGTGTTGGTTGGCCAAGAAGCTTGGTGAGCGGCTCAGTGAATTGGGGGAGATACTTTTTGTGGAGAGCAAGCTCTGCCTTGTGCTTGATGGTAGATGGCGACTTTTCCTCTTCAGCCTTACCCTTGCCACATTTCTTGGTAGCTGTAAAGAACAAGCATGTGGTGAGCTTGGAACTTTACCAGCAAAATGAAAAGTACTGGTTGGGGTGGTCAGAGTGGTGCCAGAAGCTTCAGCAGCAGTGGGTACTGCAGGCTGAAGTCAGATAATAGTGGTGTAAGTGAAAGTAATGGGGTGTGAATTGGAACAGGAAGGAGTTGATTTGTACCATTTTCCCCTTGGCCAATGCAGAAAGACGCCAGCGCTGTTCACTTGTGGACATTGAGGCAAGGGATGCCTCCTCTGCTCAAGAAGCTGCAGTGGCACATGCAATCTCCCCTCATAACTGGCGAGGTGTGGTCTCCTCTGCCTCATCACTGAGAAGTTTCAACTGGAACAGGTGCTTGCGGAACGTGTTGACAACTTCAGAGGTGATGCTGTGGGGCTGCTCAATCTCAATGTTTTTACCACGCGGCGCAATGTATTCCACAACACAGATCCAGTCCCAGATGTGGTGAAGCTCCTCAGGATCTTCACAGCAGCAGTCAGCCTCCATGGCTGCATGAACGGCCTGATGAAAGGCCTCCATCTGCCTTTTGATCATGCTCCAGTGGTTGGTGATTAGCGACCAGAAGTTCTCTGGCAAGAGGGAAGTAGTTAGACTTGTGGGGAGAAGAACAAAAGAACTAAAGAGAAAGGACATACTCTTGGAAGGGGCTTGGTGTTGATAGCACTTATAATGATGAAGCACAGTGATCATGTCGTTGGCACTCAATTCCCTGAAGGCACCAGAGTTGAGGTTGTCAAGGGAGATGAACACCTGACCCTCTGGAACGAGGCAATTGAGTTCCTTGATAAGACTGGAAAAGGGGAACAGTTAGCGAGGACTCAAAACAAAGGTGAAGAGTTAGAGTAGAAATAACATACTCCACCACTCCTGGAGCATGGAACAGGGCCCTTAAGGTAGTTGAGTACTTCTGCAGAGTGGTGGGCTTTGGTGCAGCATGACCCTCAAGTGTTTTCTGTGAGGTGTGGGGTGATGAGTAATGGTTTGAAATACAAAGGTGGTGGACATACCAGGTGCTCAGCGAGAGCATTGTAGTCAGTAACAGTTTTTTTGCCACATGTGATCTGGAAGAGTGGGTTTTGGCCAAGGGTGTAGTAGTTCAGGGCCTTCTTGAAAGCATTCAGGATGACTGAGCCCACTGAGTTGATGTAGTTCTCAAAGCTGGAGATGCAGTTGAGGATGATCCAGCTGAGTTCCATCCCTGCAGCTGCTGGCACAACTTCATAGACATTCTCCCACTGCCAGTGCTCAATGAGGTTCCAGACCACAACTCTGTGGTTACAATCAATGGCCTCTGGAAGGTTAAAAGTTAGTACCCAAAAAAACCAATGTGCATTGGGAATTGTGAATAGCCTAAAAACTGTATGGCCATGAGTGCAGCTAAAATGAAGTGGTGTGGGAAGTAATACCAAACTCATCAACATTGTTTCAGTCAAGGCGCTCATCTTCATTGAGAAATCTAACAATGAAGGGCTTGGTTGTGAGACACCCTCCATCCACAACAGACTGCAGCAAGTGACGAATTCCTGGAACTGTCACTGGGCGATGCTGTTCTGATGGCAGTGCAGGTGGTTAGCAAGTGAAAGCATCTACACATTGCCAGAACGAAAAGAGGAGTTGTACCAAAGATGGTGCAGTTCTGCACGTCAAGGTGGTGTGATGTGGGTTGAACCCAGGTATGGTGCAAAGTTGAAGGGTTGATGCAATTGAGCTGCTCCTTCTGCTGGTGAATTGCTTGGTCATTGCAGGTCACCTGAAGGCTGGCGCTGATGATGTTGGGGTTGGACTGAAGTGATTGGAAATTCAGGAGTGTATGAATTTTCGTTTCTGAATAGTAAGGTTGAGGTCAGCAACACAAACTGTTAGAGAACATGGTTCTCACAGGTCGAAAATAAAACCAATGCACATTGGGAAAAGAGTCAACAAATAAAAAACCCAATGCACATTGGGAAAAGAGTCAACAAATAAAAACCCCAATGTGCATTGGGAAAAGAGTTGACAAATAAAAACCCCAATGCGCATCAGGAAAAGAGTTGACAAATAAAAAAACTGATGCGCACTGGTTTGGAACTTGTCAGTGTGGTGAACAGTAAAAACACACAAAGTGTACATACCTAGCTCCAGGTCGGGCAGGGCAAGTAGTCTGGTGGCCTCCTTGTGTTGCTCTTCAGTGTTGCCTGTGGAGTACTGGCACACCACTGGCTGCTTGTGAGGCTTGGTCTTGATCTATCCGTTATGTGGCTGTTGGGAATTGGAGGTATCACACCAAATGTTTAAATACCTCTCCAGTGTCATTCACTTGTTCTCCACCTCCATGAGCCACTCTCTCCCCACCAACACAGAGGTCCTCGCCTCTACCCTACTATCCCCAATCTTCGGCCAGTCCTTATGAGCCACAGCTCATACTCCAAGGAAGAGAGTTCTCTGAACTGCTGAAGAGTGGATCCCCAAAAAGCGTCGCCTGCTTGTCAGCAATGATCACATCAATACTGTTCTTGCATCATTCTGTTGTTGTAAGAAATGCCTTGATAACTTCTCCTTTGCTGACATTCTCAACATCACACAACCCTTTGCAGATCTCAATGAATGCAATTGCACCACCTACATCATCAACATCATGTCAGCCAGCTGTGTCTCAACACTACCTGAGTGCCACTTCAAGTTGCGACTCAATGGTTCTCCAGTGTGTTTGAATGCTTTCCAAAAGGTGCCAACCCTTTTTATTGCGGCCTTACATTTGTTATCCCACCTCACATTGCTGCTCTACAAGGTGCATGGTTTCAGCAGGAAGAAGTGGCGTTCTGCTAAACAGATTTTCATTTCTGGTGGGCGTGTCCCAATACACAACACCACTGGACAGCAACGTCCCTCAAATGCCACCTCAAATACCCACTTATGGCTAACCACTTTCTTTGATGTTATTGGAGATCGCCTTCCTGATGCCACCATCCACTTACCTATTTCTTTGACTTGGCGAGAAGTGCACTCTATGTGTGCCAATGCTCATCCCTCAACTGTTCCTGTGCTCACCTATTCTGCTATGCTCAAACACATTGCTTCCCACTTTGCCTATGTGAAGTTGCCTAAGAACTCATGCCTTGGCAAGTGCTCTGCTTGCATTGACTTTGCACAGCAACGCTTGAGAGCCAAAAGCCCTCTTGAGGCAGCACAGTTTGCAAGTGCATGGACTCACCACCTTGCACTTTCTTCTGCAGAACGCCTCAGTTACAAGGACCGATGCCACCAAGCAACAAGTTGACCAAGTCTTTACATGAGCCTGATCATTGACTACTCCAACCCACTCCCTCTCCCCACCCACACTCCTGTGCCAAAGGCCTGGATGCACTTTGGCAACCAGTTCACCATGGTTCTTGGTGGTCTCATTGACCACAGCCATGGCAAACACCTCTTTCTACACCCTCAGCCCTTTTGGCCAAAAGATGCTAACCTTGTCATCTCCACACTCTTTCACCACATCCAAACTCACATTTTGACTAACACCACCTCCAACACTCGCCCTTCTATCCTCTACCTGCAGGCTGACAATTGTGCTGCTGACAATTGTGCCACTGAGAACAAGAATGGGCCAGTGGGACCCCACCCAGCTGGTGGAAGTCCTGGGGCTGCAGCTGGACCTTCAGTGCAGCCAGATCTTCATTCCCAAGCTGAAGCTGGTGCAGGCTGAGGCAAGAGGAAGCAACCCATCCACTTGCTGGAGCTGCAGGCAGTCCTTCATGGTCTGGCGTCATTTGCACACCTGCTGCACAGGTGGCAAGTGGAGTGCCACATGGACAACACCATGGCGCTGGTGTATCTGGTGAACAGTGGTGGAGCTGACCTCAACATGACACTCATTGTCAAGCAGATCTATGCTCTTCTCAACTGGATTGGCGCCTGCCTCTACAAGGTGGTGTGGATCAAGGGGAGTCTCAATGTTGAGGTGGATGCTGCATTGTGGTGGGTGGACCACAATGACTGGACCATGCAGGCAAGGTTTCTCTGCCTCATGCACCTGCAGCTTGGTCCATGGATGATTGACTGCTTTGCTGATCACATCAATGTGCAGGCGCCAAGGTTCAACAGCCTGTTCCTGGTTCTGGGAACTGAGGTGCAGGATGCATTCTCTGTGTTGTGGGTGGGTGAGGTGAACCTGCTGGTGCCTCCCTTCTACCTCATACTCTGGGTGCTGCAGCACCTTGTTGAGTGTTGGGTGATTGGGATGATTGTTGTGCCATGGTGGGAGGCCCAGCTGTGGTGGCCCATACTACTCTGGGTCACCACCAGGGTGGTGGTGTTGGGCCATGGATTGGAAGTGGTGGTGCCAGGGCCATCTGACAAGTGTGAGCTGAACACCATGGTGTCATTGCACTCACTGCACATTGGTGGTGCCACAGCAGCCATGATGGGTGGCCTGCAGTGCAAGCAGATTATGGCCATCAGTGGGTGGTGCAGTGGTGTGGTCAATAGGTATCTCCACACAGTGGAGACTGCCAAGGTTGGCGCCTCCACCCTCATTCTAGGGTCTGGTCTCTGACCATCTCCTATTAGTATGACCTTGGGAGCAAGCAAGAGAAAGGTAGTTGTTGCCCATTGTGACAACAACAAAGTTTATTGCAAGCAAGGATATTTCCTAGGTCTTTTCTCCACTGCAAGCCTGGATGGAAGGTCTGCAGCATTGAGTGCCCCTTTTTAGGGAAGCTCCCCCAGCAAGGTCACAGGAGTTATTCATTTTTTCTTTTTCTTGTCTTGCAACCAACACATCTCCCACCCAGCCCTCCCAGTGTCGTCATCTTCTGCTTGCTTGCTCTGGCTGTCTTGTGCATGGCAAAGAGGAGGAGGGTCAGAAGGGGCATGGAGAGGGGTGCATGAGCTCAATATTCTCTCAGTCTCACTTTAGCTAATAAACTCCTATTAGTATGACCTTGGGAGTGAGCAATATAATGCATTTTTCGAATTGAAGGCCCACTGCATGAGCCCAAGTCATTGATTTTACACAACAATGCTGGTTTCTTGTGGAAGAGGTAACAGAAGAGGTCCCAATTGGCCTTGCACACAGCACCAGTGAGCACTTCACAGTAGGAGTAGTCAAGTCGCCCCCAGTGCTCAAGTCCCTTGATCTCATCAACAGTGCCCCCACTCCACACAAAGCTATGAATGAACGCATTGCTGAATGCATATGAGCCTGTTTTGCAATCTAATTGTCCATTGTAGTTGTCAAGGATCCAATCCAATAGGGTGGTGTTGATGGGGTGAAACTGACCAACGTGTTTGAAAAACACATCTGTGGAGCGTTCAATCGCCTTGAGGTGAGCACTTGGTGTGAGGTGGCTTGGGCTCGTAGTGGAGCTCTTCAAAGATGGCGAGGAAATCTCTGCACACAAATGGCACCTGGAGCCACTCAATGACGTAGGTGCAGATGTGTTTCCAAATCTCCCTCAGGAAGCCAGTGATGGTGGCAGAGTAGTTGCCATTGTTGTTGGTGTGGACATGCTTGCATGTGGTTGTGGAGTCATTGTTGTTGGTGTAGGGGCGCTTGTGTGTGGATTGCATGGTTGTGCTGTATCTTCCAAGAGCCCATGCTTCTGTGTTTCTCATCCAAGTGACCTCACAAGGTTGGAGCATGGGTAATGAAAAACGTTGGCACTGGCTGGAATGCAATGCAGTGACCAAACATTTCCAAGATCATATCTGAGATTGTGTGCCTCTGGGATCAACTGTCTGAGATTGATGACCTCTTTCAAGTTGTGGTCAACAACAACGATGTCAGGGCCTGTGACACAACTGAATGTGCAAGTATGCCAAGGTGGAGATCTGATGATGAAAGATTGAGCTGTGATGATTTGGATTCTGAACAATAATCTGTTTGTATTTTTATTCGTTGTAAATCATGAGTTGGGCCCTTTGTACAACAATCTTATGCTGGGCTGAGGTCAGTGGCGCAGTGGTGTAAGTGTGTGCACTGGAACGCCATCCAAGCAGGCAGTGGAGCAGCAGCAAGGGTGGGGTGAGGGCTGGGGAAGAGGCTGTGTGTGGTGTTTGTGTTTGTCTTTTTTATTTTGGGAGGCGTGGCGCTCCTTGCTTGAGTTGGTCAAGCTGATGCATGCTGCAGATGTCTGTGTCTCCTCCTCCTCCTTGTCCTGCCCTGTGCTGCTGTTGTCACTCCCTCTTTGTGTGTGCATGTGTGTGCCTGTCACTGCTCTGATGGGCACATGGCTGTGAGGTCAGAGAGCATGTGCACAGTAACATGACTTGGCGCACAGTCACCCAGCCACCAACTGGCAGGCAACCCTTGGTGGCTGCACAGTGGCCAGGCTGACCCACCTCACAAAAGGGTCCCCATGCTCAAGCCTTGTTGTTGCTCTTGCTTGCTCTTTGTTAGAGGGCCCCAACATCCCAGGAATGCAGGCTGGAGGAAAAAGCTGATTGGGTCTAGGGGGGGTCAAAGATAGATTTGTGATTGATGTGCTGGAGATGATTGAGGGGAAAACAGCAGCAGAGCAAGCTAAGAAGGTGGCGCAGATGTGGGATGACTTACAAGCACAGCAGCAGCAGCAAGGAGTGCAGGACACAGACCTTGACACCATCTGCTCCATCACCTTCAACAACACTGCAGATATAAGTTGAGGAGTGAAAAAGGGACTCAGAGTGGCCCTTGACCAAGAGAGAGAGGAGCAGGCAAAGAAGAAGGGAGTGGCATACAGGCTGCTGGTGGAGAAGGGCTGTGGTGATCACATCATGAGCCTGTGCATGAAGGAGTGGGAGAAGAGAGTGGCGAAGAAGGTGGGAAAGGAGTGGTGGAACCTCAAGCCAATGCAACGCCCCCATGATGTGAGGACGTACCTTAATCAGTTCACCTCCACAATGTACCATCTTGCACAGCAGTTCAGTCATGAGTGGAAGGGCAAGTGGGAAGGCTTCATGCAGCAGTTCAGCATCAAGGGCAACCCTATTCAGAGGGTCACACAAGTGCGATTTGTGAGCACAGACCAAGTTGCACACCAAGTACTAAAATGGTACACCTCACCACCACAACCACCACAACCACCACAACCACCCTCACCCCCACATGCACACCCACGCCCCACACGCCCACGCCCACGCTCACGCCCATGCCCACACCCACACCCACGCCCACGTGCACGCCCACACCCATGCACACATGCACGCCCATGCCCACGCCCACACCCACGCCCACACCCACGCCCACGCGCACATGCACGCTCATGCCCACGCCCACACCTACCACAACCACCACAACACCATCACCAACATTGCAGTATCACTAACCATCACTTTCCATTAGGTACCCACTGATATACCTTTGGTATCTCTCCATGCATGGGAGCTGGGAGTGCAGAGATGGTGTTGTGCAGCTCTTGAATATGGGTACAGTACTCCCCCACCATGTTGATTTTTGGCAGATGCTTCATGAATGGTCCAAGGAGTGCCTGTGGTGACAGGTAACATCAATAATGCCACGCCCTCCACCGTCGCTGTGCCCTCCACCGTTGCCGTGCCCTCCACCGTCACTGCGCCCTCCACCGTTGCCGTGCCCTCCACCGTTGCCGTGCCCTCCACCATCACCACACCATCCACCATTGCTGCGTCCTCCACCATCATCACGCCCTCCACCATTGCTGTGCCCTCCACCATCACTGCGCCCTCCACCATCACTGCGCCCTCCACCATCACTGCGCCCTCCACCGTCACCATGCCCTCCACAATCACAGGCCAATGCAACACAAGGGTGGGACGAACCCAGAAACAGAAGCCATCTGGTCCTCCTCCTCTAGCAGCACGGCATGCTGTCTACGTGCGGCTCTACCTGTGTGCCATCATCAAGACCATCACAAAATTCAACAGTAACTTCCTGCGTGGGGGTGAGTACACCACCAATCCCAACCTCCACTCCCTCCACCTACATACCACTATGTGAGATGTTGAGTGGATCTTTGCCAAAGTTGACTGGCTCTTCCACATGAAGAGCTACTTGTTGCAAGCAGTGACTCTCCCAGGCTTCCTTGCCATGGAGGAGGCCCCCAACGATCCAGACCTCCTGCAGGAGTATGATCAGTATGGGGTATACCCTCCCTGCCTTTCCTATTCATTGCAGGGCAGCAATGGGGCTAACATACACCAGCTGTGCAAAGAAGCATGTGAGCTCCTTGCAGCACAGCCTATGCATGCAGAGATCCATGCTTGCAAGGCAGTCCATTTCCTGCACCAGAAGCAAATGGAGTGGCAACAGGACCAACAGCGGAAAGAGCAGCGCCATGAAGACAGGGCTATAGTCAAGACACTGGCAAGGCATGGCATGAGGGTGCAGGGACGACTTACCAACAACGTAATGCACACATTCCTTCAGGAGGTGAAGAAGCACAACCACAAAATCCACCTCAGCAACAAGCGGCGGGCAGACCTCATTGCCAAGATTCAGGCCTACGACAGCCACACCCCCACCATACAAGAGCCAGGTGAGGATGATGAGCATGAGGAAGAGGAAGAGCAGGAGCAAGAGCAGGAAGTTGTTGAGGAGGGCACATACAATGACCAACTGGAGAGAGAGGAGGAAGATGGGGCTGACCACAGGGCTTGTCACGAAGAGGAAGCTGAAGAGAGTGATGGGGAGGAGGAAGAGGCTGATGACTATGATGACAATGACGATGATGATGATGAGGAGGAGGAAGGGCGTACCATGCCATCTATAACGTTCAGGAGCGTCCCCAGCACCACCACATCATGGCACAACGCCGTTCACGCGGCCTGCGTGCCTGAATTGATGCCCTCGGCGTCGAATTTCTCTCCTGCCTTCATCGCCTCTCTTCAATCTCTCTAGTGATTGTTCGCCTCTCCTCGCCCAGAAACAAGATTCACGGATTTCCATGTTTTTCTTTTTTTCTCGGGCCAATAGGAAACGTCCGACCAGCCAATGAGCGCGATTGAAACCCTCTAGTTGATGGCCGCGCAGAGGCTGCGGCTCCGGTGAATCCTCTCGCTGGCCAGTAAATGATCAGAGTCTCTCTTGCGATGAAAAGCGCCAACGTGGGCGAGAGTTGAAGTACTTACCTTTACTGGTGGCGTACTGCTTGAGGCGGGGCTGGAGCCAGGCCATGTGGCGCGCCTTCCATCGCTTGCCCTCGCACCCCTTGTCATCGCTGCTCCACCGCGCATTGCAGAAGCGGCGCCACACGTGGTCGTCGCTGCTCACTTCGTTCAGTGTCTGTGGTGCGGGTGGTGTCAGCCCAAAGGAGGAACGTTGGCGCGAATCGAGCTCGGGCGGCCGGGGTGGGGTACTGAGCAGGTCTGGGCGACAGAGCACAGGTCGTGGGGCTCAAGGAGGGCCATCACGTGCACCAGCGCGTCGAAGGGCATGAACAAGAGGGGACACGCCCGATAGCTCCAGCTTTCGATGAGCTCTGCCACGGCCACGTGGCCCGCCGCTCTCGCCACCTGACCAGCCGTTCTGAGGCCTCCATCAGCCCTAAGCCCAACACTACACTGCGAGAGGAGGAAGAAGACAAGGGAAGAGGCCGTGAAGACGAGGCGCACCTCGGCGGCGTTGCCGTGCTTGCTAATCAGCCGCGTGTCGGCCGAAGAGAGAAGGAGCGACACGACAGCGGCGTGACCATAGCGCGCGGCGTAGTGCAGCGCCGTTTCGCCCTGCTCGTCGGCTTTGTCGACATCGCTCACTTGTTTGCCTGCGTCAATAGTTAATTCGAATGAATGTCAGCAATGCGTCGGCTCAGCTTGAGCCCCGCAAGCAACGCACCTTGGAGGAGGAACTGGACGACCGGCCAGTTGCCGCGTGCGCAGGCCACATGGAATCCAGGAGCAGCTGCCAGAACTTGACCTCGGGCGAAGGCATGACCCATCTTTGCACCGTGTTGACCCACCTCGCTCCAACCGTCGCCGGCAACTGTTGGGCATTGCGCAAGGGTGTGTGTGTGTGGTGTGTGTGTGGTGTGTGTGGTGTGTGTGTGTGGTAAATAAGTAAAGGTGCGCTGCTTGAATCAATAGAAGGGCCCGTACATCAGGGTAGGGACCCTTCTGGGTCTCGGCCAGGGCGTGCAGCTCTGATCGCTTACAATTCTGCTGATGGACGTGAGCACCGTGGTCGATGAGCAGGCGGGCCATGACCATGTTGTTGCACTTGACCGCGGCGAGCAGCGGCCGCAGGCCCATGTCGTCGGCTTCATTCACGTCGCACCCTTCTGGTGGTTAAAAAAATGCCTCTGTGGTGAGAATGGCAGCACAACAACGCGAAGACATCGATGGCAACGTACGAAAGATTAAGGCTTGTACGGCAGCCTGGTCGCCGTCGACCACTGCCGATGTGAGGGCGCCCTCTATGACAGGACTCTCGTCCACGCTGGTGGTTGGCTCCTGCCGAGTGTAAGCTGTGGCCACGCTGGTCATCTTATCTGCTCTACTGGCCGAATTGAATGGAATCCTCCTTTGCTGCCCCCCCCCCGCTCGTTTGTGTGCCTCGCACCAGCAGCTCACCCGTCCCCGTCGTTCTTTTATTGTGGAAGTGTCCTCTTGGAACTGCATTACGCCGACTGTCGACAACTGACGTCTGTGCGTCATAGTCGACATAAAATGTGTGTGGCGCGCACGATCGCGTTGGTGGTACTTGTTGTTGATTGCTGGGCGTGGGCGGCCGCTCCTCAAGCTTGCCGCCCACTCTACCAAATATTGTGCTGTGCTGACCCCCAGCCTGCCCACGACACACCCTGGAAAAGGGGCGCCGTGGACGGCCAGGCTCGGTCGGCCAGGCAAGAGTCCCACACGCAACCGTTGGTGCAATGGAAGAGGGGACTCACCTGAAGGGGGGCATCACCGTGCGTGAGGACGGGCCGCACCCCTCGCCAGCCAGGTAAGTATGCGAAGTAACGCTTGGCCATGCTGTGCACCTCCTCCTTCGCCCATGGGCTGAAGAAGAAGGTGATCGCGGCCAGCGGTGTCTACCGAACGGGTGGGCGAGGCTGGTCAGGTCTTAGCCAGTAGAGGGCCGGTCGATTGTGGGATTGCTGCAGGTGCGGCAAAGGCAAGAGTTAAAGAAAAGGCCTGGAAAACCAAAAGAAAATAGGCCAAAAATTTCCGTAACTTTTCCGCGCCCGAGGAGAACAACAGGCTGGCCCAGATCGAGCATCAATCAAACCAAGCCATCCACAACACGACGCCAACGATGGGTAGCGCCTGCCACACGACGAATCTCACGATCATTTTCGACGCACACAACCCAGACCAGACGCGTCAGGTAATTCACGACACCTTCTACGCAGCCAAGCGACCATTCGCCGGCAAATCGACCTCGATGCATCGCGGCCCGAGAGTGGACAAGATGCCTCGACGAAGTCGCCCGATTCGACGTCGAGCGTCATGCCGGCAGCTTCCATCCACGATCGCCGCCAGACGCCCGCAGAAGATCGGACGCAAGGAGCAGGAGCACGCCAAGAGGATACGTAAGTATCGCCAACAGGGTGTGCAGCGTCAGCACGAACCCAATCATGCTGACCTTCTTGATTGGGCTTTTGTTGATCAGCAGATTAACCGACCCAGGACTCCCAATGCCCACCACCTCAGCTCCTTTCAAGTGCATAGCACTGGCGCTGCTGGTGCTGCCCACGCGTGCCTCATGGACGCGGGCGACCATCAGCGCTCCCTTCTCGAACGCGAGCTGATCGTCGATCCCTATGGCACCAACCAGGGCTTGCTCAGCTTGCAGCTGCCCTTCTCTAACGACAACAGCTACATCAACAACAGCAACATCGCGGCGCTGCAGACGCAGCTCTGCGCCACTTCCTCACCTTCATCATCATCTTCTTCCTCGATGCCAGCTCTCCTTCTCCAGCGATTACCGTACCGCCAGCAGGAGCGCGACCATCGAGCCGAAGCCGAACCGCTGGTCTTCGACGAGAACTGGGTGTGGCCGGAGGACCTCACCACCTCCACTTTTGTCTGTAACGCGTAAGCGAGCTATCCCCAATGTAGTGCACATACAACGACACACCATCATGACACACAGCACACGCACAAACAACACGACACGACACGACACACCGCACACGGAGGAAAAGCTTGAAGGGCAAATCGGGGCTTTGCAGGAGGCCACCCCAATCGCCAAATTAGGGTTACTTGAAGGGGGGAAGAGTGCAGTTCGCTCAAGAAGAACGAGCAAGCAAGCAGAAGAGGATGAGTGCGTACTTGCTGCAGCTGTTGGGGATGGGCCGGGCGCTGGTGGACGCGTGCGACGCGGCCCTCCTGGCGCTCACGGGCGGCGGCAGCCGTCGCTTTCGCAGGGGGCTGGGTCTGGTCTTCGCCCTCTCTTCGGCCACGGTTGCCGCCACTCTGGCCGCCCTCCTGCGCCGTCGTTACCTCCTCACCGTACCACACCGACCCTCCCAAAGGCTCTTTTCTTTCATTCAATCATTTGATTTCCATTATATTGCATCAATCACTTATTAATTCCTGATGATCCACATGGCATTGTTCACAAAAGGCGGGAGTGACGACGGGCGCGCCACCGCGCCATCGATTTGATTTCGTGGTAGTGGGTGGCGGCAGCGCCGGGTGCGTGCTGGCCTCGCGCCTGTCTGAAGACCCCAAGGTCAGCGTGCTCCTGCTCGAAGCCGGCCAAGGTACGTCACACGCATCACCCACCGCCCATGCTAGCACCACCCACCGCACCACCGACACAACCAACGCTCGAGCGTGTGCGCACACAGAGGAAACGTTCGAGAAGAGCATTGCGGTGCCGATCGCGGCTATTCAGCTGCAGAAGACGCCCGTGGACTGGGCATTCCAAAGCGAGGCGCACCATGCCACCGACGGACGCGTGCACGTGTGGCCGCGCGGCAAAGTGTGCGTGTCTCTCCCCCATGGGGGACTCTTCTTCATCATGGGCATTTTGTGAGGCCCAACATACATCGCTCACTCTCTGACACTCATGTGTGCAGCATGGGAGGTTGCAGCTCCTTGAACTGGATGCTCTACGTTCGCGGCAATCCTGGCGGTACGCGCCTGCTCCTCCCCAGACCACACACACACACACACACACAACACCCTTATTCAATTACACAAAAAAGACTACGACCTGTGGGCCAACGAGTTTGGCTGCACCGGGTGGTCGTACGAGGAGGTGCTGCCCTACTTCCGCAAGTCCGAGCACAGGTTCGTGGTTCGTGTTTCATGTTTTCTCGTGGGGCGCAACAAGAAGATGACTCATGTGGATCCGCCGATTGATTGCAGAGTCATCGAGCCGTGGCACACGGCGGCCACCAACGACGAGAAGCACAGGGGAGCCGATGGACCCCTCGTGGTGAGCGACGTCCAGGCGCCCAACACCATCACCAGGTGCGTCCAAGGATTCGTTACGTGGCCCATTCGTAAAAGTTACCCCAACATAACACACACACACACAAAACAGCACATTCATCGCTGCGGCCCAGAGTGTCGGCATTCCGTACAACCCGGACTTGAACGGTGGCCAACAGCTCGGCGTCGGCCACGCCCAACTGACCATCGGTACCCGGTCGCCCCAGTACTGAGGCAATCAAAAGTCTACTGACTTCCCTTGACTTTGCCCTAACGCTGGCTTTCCCGCCATTGCCCACCACCGAACAGACAACGGACGTCGGTGCACCACGGCCTACGCGTTCCTCAAGCCGGAAGTGCGGAAGCGGCCCAACCTCACGGTCCTGGTCGGCGCCCATGCGACGCGCGTCCTGTTTGACATCGACCGCACCCGCGCTGTTGGTATTGTATTTACGCGGCTTCGCGCTTTTTCTTTGCCTCATTGTGTGTGTGTGTGTGTGTGTGTGCGGTTACAGGTGTCGAGTACAAGCTCCAGAGCGAGAATTACA